AGAGAGAGAGAGAGGGAGAAGGGAGAGAGAGAGAGAGAGAGAGAGAGGAGGAGAGAGAGAGAAGAGAGAGAGGGGGGAGAGAGGAGAGAGAGAGAGAGAGAGGAGAGAGAGAGAGAGAGAGAGAGAGAGAGAGAGAGAGAGAGAGAGAGAGAGAGAGGGAGAGAGAGAGAGAGAGAGAGAGAGAGAGAGAGAGAAGAGAGAGAGAGAGAGAGAGAGAGAGAGAGAGAGATAGAGAGAGATAAGTAGAGAGAGAGAGATAGAAGAGAGAGAGAGAGAGAGAGAGAGAGAGAGAGAGAGAGAGAGGAGAGAGAGAGAGAGAGAGAGAGAGAGAGAGAGAAGGAGGAGGAGGAGGAGGAGGAGGAGGAGAGATGAGAGAGAGGGGAGAGAGCGAGAGAAAGAAGGAGAAGAGAGAGAGAGAGAGATATAGAGAGAGAGAGAGAGAGAGAGAGAGAGAGAGAGAGAGAGAGAGAGAGAGAGAGAGAGAGAGAGAGTGAAAGAGAAGGGAGATAGAGAGACGAGGACCCCTTGCACCTTGCAAGCACCTGACACGGCAGTGGCCATGCGATCCGAGCATGTCATGCACCGTTTACACTCGGCCCTGCATCGTGCACCCGTTCACGAGCACAGTATCCCACTTCCATCTACCAACCCATGTTTATAAACCTCTCATAATGTAGAGATCCCAAGTGGGTGGCCACAAGAGGAACGCGATCCCTACGAGCACGCAATTACAGACAGGGACGTGACCATCATGCGCAGTTGACTGCGGGCATGCCTTGCACTGGTGGTGCTCCTCGTGGGACAGTAACTTTATCCTCTCCATCATCGCTTAAGGGTTTTGGTTGCTCTGGAAGAATGCAGCCCCCGCACCCTTTGAGGACAAGAACCATGTCGGATTCTGCACGCACCTCGACTTTACTCGCGACGTGATTCACGATCTTGTAGTCACTAGCGCTTCTGTAGCGATCGAGAAGAGAGACACGCTAACATGTGTCAGCCCACTGAACGTGGGTGGAGCAGCGCGACAAATGCCGCCTCATCCTTGACCTGCGGAAAGTGAATGCTCACCTTGAAGCCCCCAAGTTCAAGTACGAAGGTTTGAATCGTGTAGCCAAGCTCATCCGCCGAGATGACTGGATGTTCTCCATTGACCTGAAATCTGGATATTATGACGTCGAGATTCACCCCTCTTGTTGGAAGTCTTTGGGCTTCCAGTTCGAATGCATCTACCACTCCTTTCGGTCACTGCCGTTTGGCCTTGCAACTGCTCCATTCGTCTTCACCCAAACTAATCAAACAACTCACCAAGCGATGGCGGGCAAGCGGCGTACGAGTGGTCCCATATGTTGATGACCTATTATTCCTCTGCGATTCCCACCAGCAAGTGTGCTCGACTCGTACGACAGTCCTCCAGGACCTGAAAGCAGCTGGCTTTGTCATTAACGGCAAAACATCGCACCTTCACCCCTCGCGTCAGCTTCGGGTTCCTAGGCTTGGGAAATCGACTCCACCCGTGGCACGTTCTCTGTCGGACTCGAGCGAAGGGCACAACTCTTAACAACGCTTGAGGCCTTGTTCACCTAAGGACAGTTAGGAAGGCATATTCCCGTTCGCTCCCTTGCAAGATTTACAGGCATGCTCGCATCTATAACCCTAGCACTGGGCGCGACTGCACGAGCCTTCTGCCACGAACTCCTATGACTTATTGCTGACGCGACGTCCTGGCACTCCAAGGTCCTCTTGCACCCGATAGCGGTGGACGAGCTACGCTTCTTGCTGGTGCAATTCGACAAATTTAACGGCGCCCCCTTTCATCTCATTCACCAGTTCGACAACGTCATCCACGTGGACGCAAGCACCCATAGTTGGGGTGCCATCCTCACGCCACTCCCCAGGATTCCAATAAAAGCAAGCTCCCGCATGCCAGAGGACCTCTTACACACTTCCAGCACCCGAAGGGAACTCGAAGGTGTCATGTGGGCACTCACAACATTTGTCACCCACATCTCCACACGAACTAACACGTGCCGTTTCAACCGTGAAGGAACTTGAAGGCTGCGCAAAGGCGGCTCCAGCATTCCTGCACTCACACTACTTTGCATGGCGATCATCAACCTTTGCTTAAAAAATCAGACACGCCTTGCCATCGAATGGATTCCCCGGGAGCTGAACGCGCACGCCGGCGAACTCTCCAAAGACCATGACCGAGATGATTACTCACTCAATTCCCCATGGTTCCGAATTCTCGACTGCCGCCTGGGGCCTCACTCTGTCGACCTATTCGTGAACGTTCACAATGCTCAACTGGAGCGGTTCTGCTCCAAGATTCCTCACCCCAAGGCCACATCGGTTGACGCCTTCTCGTTCAGCTGGCATGATGAACGCGGCTTTGCATTCCCCCCTCCCAACCTCGTCCCAGTTACTCTGCGCCACACCCATCGCACCCATGCCGAGTTGACGTTGGTCATTCCCGAGTGGCCAGGAGCCTCTTGGTGGCCCCTACTGCAGCCAGCACCACGAACCTGGGCACCAGAAGTAAAGGCACATATTCCTCCCACTCGAGGCAGCCAATGCCTATCCCCAGGCACACACTCGCTCGCCTTTGCTGGACTCAGTTTTCCCAATAGCCCGATCATTTCGTTGCATGTAACATACAAATTTTGGCACAGCTTTAGGGTTTAGGGAGAACAGGGGAGATATAGCATTTGGGTTGTACCCACTAAGAACATACCCTATCTAGCCTATAACTTCTACAAAACAATATATGTATAAATTGACACACCCCCTAGGCTAAATAAGGGGTAGTGCTGAGCCAGAAACACGCAGCTCAGGGTGGCACTACTAGTCCAACCTCAGAGGCAGGGGCCCGAAGACCAGTCAGCAAGAGTACAAGCAAGACAGAGCAAACTAGGGAGGCACTACTAGTCCAACCACTGGAGGAAAAGCCACAAGGCCAGTTTGGAAGGCATAAATAGAAAGGAGTACACAACCAAAGGCCTAGCAAGTGAGAGTCAACAGCGACTAGACCTAACTGCAAGCAGTGCCGCTGATGATCTCTAGGCGGAAGCGCCTTAGTAAAGATATCAGCTATGTTGGCACCGGAGGCCAAGTGTACTACGCGGGCCTGGTGACGCTGTTGAAGCTCGCGCAGGAGGAAGTACCACAGCTACATGTGCTTCGCTCTTCCCTCAAGTCGAGGCTCCTGACACAAGAGGATCATGGCCCTGTTGTTAGCGTACAAAACCGGAGCACAGCCAGCCCGCTCACCTAAGTCGGAAAGCAAGAAGGTCAGCCAGCGGAGCTCCTGTGCCGCCATGGCACCGGCGTAGATCTCAGCCTCGCAGCTAGATTGAGCAACAGGCGAGGAGCGAGTGGACCTCCACGAGATGGCACCTGAACCAAGGCTGAAGCAGTAGCCCTGGGAGGACCGGAGGGTCTCAGCGTCGTCTGCCCAAGAAGCGTCTGTGTGCCCGATAAGGACCACTGACCTGCGTCCTCCCAGCACTAGCCCCATGCCCGATGTACTTGCAAGATAACGCAAAACCCTCTTAGCGGCCAACCAGTGCTGTGGTCGGTGTCTGCCTGTGGCCACAAAGCGGGCCAGGATGCTGAGAGGGTATGTGAGATCTGGGCGGGTGCAAGTCACAAGGTACATGAGGCAACCCACCAGCTCTGCATAAGGACCACTGGGCTCTGCTGACTCCTCTGGAACTGGAGCTTAGAGCCTGTGGTCTACCGGCAGCGGTGTGGGCTGTGCGGAGGAGAACTGAAGACCGAACCTCTGAAGGACCCGGTGCACCAAATGTGAATGTGTAAGAGTGATGGTGCGTGCTGCTCTGTCCCTGGAGATCTGCAGGCCAAGGTAGCGGCACAGCTCTCCCAGGTCAGTGCAGGTGTGTCGCCTCAGCAGCTCAGCCTTCACGGAGGCCAGCGCGTCTCTGTCTGCTGTAGCAAAGACCAGGTCGTCTACGTAGACCAGGATGTAGAACGGAGTCTGGCCAGCACGAACGAATAGCGAAGGGTCAGCAGAGGATGGAAAGAACTGCAGGTTAGCTAGCGTGGCACGCAGCGAGTCGTGCCACTCATGGGGCGTTTGTCGCAAGCTGTAGACGGGGCGCCGGAGGAGCCACTGGTTCCTAGGAGGGAAAGTACCGGTGAAGCCCTGAGGGCGGCGCAGGTAGACCTGCTCGTGTAGGCAGCCCTGAACGAAAGCAGTGGAGAAGTCGAGGGAGTGAAGCTCGTAATGTATAGCAGCACCCGAAGAGTACTCATCTTCGGGTTCGGGGCGAAGGTCTGAAAGAAGTCCACCCTCTCTCGTTGAATGAAGCCTCTAGCCACGTAGCGCGCCTTGAAGACAGGTGGCTCTCCAGGGGGGCGCTTCACCTTGAAGAGCCACCGGCCATTGACTACGTTCATCCCAGGTGGGGGAACTGCGTCAACGTAGGTGCCGGTAGCCCTCCAAGATGCCATCTCTTGCTCCATGGCAGCTATCCACTAAGAGGCCCAGGGTCCCGAGGTCGCCTCAGCGTAGGTGTGAGGGGTCGGGATGTCAAATGCGTCGGGGTCACCCTCAGGGACTAGTAGCATGGAACAGAGATGGGGAGCAGCCTCTAACAGGAAAGCAAGCTCGAACTGCCGGTCCTCCAAGACGCCATTGCCGAGGGCAGGAGCACCCCCGACGGACGGAGGACAGACAGGGTCAGAGACCAGAGCGGTAGCAAAGTCAAGGAGGCGAGTAGAGGCAAAGTCAGCGACAGCAGTAACAAGAGCGTCAAGACTTGAGACAGGAACAGTCGGGTCGATAACGAGGGAGGCAAGGACCCGAGAAACAAGAGGACGAGCAGCACGAAGGTAGTCAGACAGAGGGGGAGGCGCGACAATGAGTGACGACGGAGGAGGGGAAGGCAAACGGGGAGGATGAGACGCGTGGGAACGAAGCAACATGGGGTGAGAACGCTGAACAGGAGAGACAGCACGAGGCGAGACGTGAGACGAAGGCGTCGGGTCAGGAGACACAGGAGGAGTAACAGGAGGGGAACGAGAGGGGAAACGAGCCGGGGACGAGTTCGGCGGAGGAAACACAGGACCGTGAACAGGAAGAGGGGGAGACGGCGAGGGAGGCGCAGGCGAGCGGTCAGGGGAGGGAAGGCCGAGCAGGCAAAGGGCGGACACCGGCGGCGACTGCTGCTGCTGCTGCTCAACGCCGACACCTGGACCACCCGCTGCACAACTACTACCTCTAGTACACTCCACGCCAGCACCCCCAGAACGAGAAACGTCTCCAGCGCCAGTGCCACCCCCGAGCCCGTCGGGACAAGACACGACAGGAGCCCCAGGACTAGCACCCTCTCCAACTCCAGCACCCCAGAGTCCACGAATGGTTGCGGCTGCGACGACGGCTGCGGCTGCGGCGGCGGTGACGGCGTCGGCGACTGTGACGAAGGAGGAGGAGACACCGGGGGAGGGACAGGCGACGCAAACTGCGCCGCGGGGCCATCGGAGTCAGCCGACTCCTCGACCGGGACAACCGACGGGAGGGGAGTGTCGTGAGACACACCGGACGGAGCAGGATGGGGAGGGAGGGGAGCAGGAGCGACTGGGGGAGTGGGAACCAGAAATAGGGGGGGGGGAACCGGGAGACCTCGGTGAGGAAAGCGGTGGAAAAAAGGAGACAGACTTGTCGAAAGTGACGTCACGGGAGTGAAGGAAGCGGTGAGACGACGGGTGGTAGAAGTGCCAGTCAGACGAGTCAAGGGGGAAACAGAGGAAGACACAGGGGACGGTGCGGGCAGTGAGCTTGTCCATACGGGAGGCACGAACGTGAGCAAGGCAGCCCCAGACGTGGAACGCAGACGCGTCATCAGGGAACCCGGTCCAAAGAAGGGTCGGCGAAACCTTCGGCAGCTGAGAGCGAGGCCAGAGGTTAAGTAAGTGAGCGGCGTAGCAAACGGCGAACGGCCACAGAAAATGGGGTGCACCGGCATGGATCATGGAGGTACGAGCCACCTCCATGACAAAAAACGATGCCTCGCTCAGCGACCCCATTCTGCTGCGGGGAGTCTGGTAGAGTGTACGTCCGCACGACAGAACCGACCCAGCCGACCAGAGGCGAACTCGCTGCCACGGTCGGAGTGGAGACAGAGCACAGAGAGACCGCGGTGGAGGCGCGCAGCAACGAGCCATGGGATAAGAACGCCAGGCACGTTGGCCTTCCGCTCCTGGGGAAACACCGTGGTGTAGCGCGTGAAGTCCTCAACGAGCACCAGCGCTCGCGACGCGGTCCAGGGACAGGGGTTGGGCCCCAGACGTCCAATCCAAGTGCAGGGTCTGAAGGGGTGCAGTGGCAGGGTGAAGTGAGGAGTGAGGAGCACGGCGCAGCCGGCCCTCGACGCAGGGCATGCACGGCGGCACAGGCGAGGGAGGGAGAGCAGGGAGCAACGCAGGGAGGCCGAGGACTAGACCGTGCTGAGACATGTGACACAGGCGGGGGAGCGTGGGGTGACCTAGGCAGTGGTGCCACAACAGTGACGGGTGAGTGAGCGATTGACACGAGCAGGCCGCAGCTACCTGGGTGGACGCAGATCCGGAGGAGGACTCGCCCGCCGGGGGGGAGCAGTGTCCAGCGTAAACAGGCCAAACACAGGGTCCCGGGGGAACGTCGCAAGGGGGGCACCTGAGGCGGCCTCGGAATAGAACGCGTACCGCTCGTGACCAGGGAACGTAGTGGTGACGCCGAGGTCCTGAAGACAGCCGACACCAACTAAGTTCCTGGAAAACGAAGGGATGTGCAGGCCTGTAAGGGAACCCGAGGGAACCGCCGAACAGGGAAGGGTAGTGTAGCTGCGAGCAACTACAGGATCAGAGGAGGGGTCCGTTAGGGCGACAGCGACAGGTGCGGCGTGAGGGCGGCGTGGTCGCGGAAGAAACAGGCTGACGCATCAGAGTCTAGAGTGAAGGACAGCGACGCCGTAGTGACAGACGACAGAGGAGCAAGGGAAGAGCCTAGGCTAGACAAAGCAAGCTGCCCTACGCCTGACGCAGCAGGGGAGTCTGGACTACACACAAGTGCTAAGCCTAAGCCAGAGAACACAGAGTAATACGATCCGGAAACACTCAAAGCGCCAGCATACAGAGAATACAAGGTAGAAATAATCTGATCCATGTCTATGTCAAACACAGACACACCATGGCGCAGCAGGCTGGGCCAGTCAGGGAGGTACGGGGCGGGACCAAAGCGGCGACGGAAGAGGTCGTCGAGGCAGCAGAAGCAGCGGGCGGTGGGGTGCGAGCGGCGGCACACCGTGCCACGCAGGGGCCCGGTCTGAAGCTAGTACTGGCAGCTCACAGCACGGAAGCTGCTGGTGGACGCCGAGTTGCGAGGGCCACCACCACGACCACCACCGCCAGGGGCTCCTGGCCACCCGGGCGGGAGACGAGCCCACGGCTACTGCTGCTGCGGCTGCTGCTACTGCTGCTGTGACGGCTGCTGCTGCTGCGGCGACTGCTGCTGCTCCTGGGCACCAGCACCAACCCCCTCGTCAGAACCACTTTCCCCGCCACCACCACCACTAGCGCCACCTCCACGTCCTCCCTTGGGGCCACGGCGGCCCCGGCGCTGGCGCTGCTGCGGGTAAGACGCAGCTGCTGTCTCAAGTGCAGGCGCAGTCGTGGCAACTGCGGCGGAGACGTCAGCGTACGTGCACTGGGAGGGGGCACAGCCCTGAAAGATAGGGACTGCTGCAACACCGCTCGACTGAGCGATAGTGCGCTGGCGAGTCTCTATCTCAGACAGAGTAGTGACAAAGACGGCCAGGGTGAGGTCGGCAGGGTGCTGACTAAGGAAGTGGTCGCGGGCAGTGGCTAAGCGGTCAGGCAGGCGCATGGCGATGAGGTACAGGGTAGCGCAGAAAGGTGGGGGGAAGGCAGTAAGCTGGGCGGCAGAGCTAGCAGCGCAGTAGCTGGTCTCTAGTGCATGGAGGTGAGTAGCGAGGTCAGCTACTGTAGGGAAAGCAGAAGGATTAGGGAAGAGCATGGGTAGGATCAAGCGGCCAGCAGAGGCGGAAGCAGGTGTGAGTAACACTCAACTACTACAGCGAGAAAGTCCTTGGCGTTCGCGACAGCGGTAAAGCACGGACGCTCAGACAGGGGGAGGGCATGGCTAATGGTAAGCTGGGCTACTACGTCGCGAGAATCCCAAACAGCTCGAGCAAGCGCAGTAGCAGCAAAAGCCTCGCTCTCAGCAGTGGTAGGGTCAGCAGGGAGGGATCAGGTACAGGGGGACGGGGAAGCAACCATCAACATGCATAGCCAGGGAGTGCCCATCCTGGCGCTGACCTGTCAGGTGCCGTCGGAGGTCGACGAGCCAGGCGGCGAAGTCGATCGCGTGCCCCTCAGCGTCCAAGCGAAGAACGGCGTCCGCCATCGCACAGTGTGACAGCGGCACAGCGGCTCAGCAGCGCAGCGTCTCGGCGGCTCGGGGACACGACGGCATGGCGGCTCGGCGGCACGGCGGCTCGGTGGCTCGGGGACACGACGGCATGGCGGCTCGGCGGCACGGCGGCTCGGCGGTTCGGCGGCGCGGGTGCTCGACGGCTTGGGGACACCGCGACTCGGCGGCTCAGGCAACGAGGCCGGCTAGGACGCAAGGGGCCGGCTAGGGCACAAGGGGCTGGCTAGGGCGAGCGGGGCTGGCAAGGGCGCGTGGGGCCGGCTAGGGGCGCGGGGGGGTGGGGGGGGGGGGCGGTAGGAGCACGAAGGGCCGTAGGGGCTTTACGTGATTTGTCTGGTTTTTCTGTTTCGCCTTGCGTCGGCGCGTTTTTGCTACGCTATGCTTGTTTGGCCCTTGTTTAGGGATGTGGCGAATAAGTTTGTAGGGGCAGCCAATCGGACATCACTGTGCGATGCTGAGGTGGCTGCCCTCGTTTCTGATCTTGGCGTATTAGACCGGGCAAAGGGATCACAAATGGATTTCGCATTTCTGATTCTGATCCTACTTCATATGAATTCGCCCTCACTCTCCCCACTTGCGAATACGCCATATCCCGCATCCGCCTACGCTTGCTTGCTTCTGCCCTTAACAGCTATACAATTCAACATAAATTGCAACAATCAACAATGTACAGGGACCAGAAGCCTGTACAGGTGGACACACAAGCAGCTTCTCCTCCTGGCAGCATTCCTTTGCCCAATAACCTTCCTCCAACCCTCCCCACCCTCTCTTCCCCTCCCCCTCACCCTCTCTCCACCCCTCCTGCCCCGTTCCCCCTCCCATCCCCCCAACTCTCCATCTTGGTCCGTCATGCCCCTGCGGCTGGCTCTTGTGCGATTCGCCCGCGTGGAAACCATTGAGTCCGTGGCACCGGCAGCAACAAGTGGCTTGTAGGGGTGGAAGTGCAGCGCGCTCACAGGCCCGATGCGGTGCGCTGGCACCCACCCCAAGTGCCTCCGCCCTAACTCTTGTGCGTCTCCCCCCTTCCCCCCCCGTTTTTCCTCCCCTAACTCCGGTGCGTCTCCCCCGCATAAATGGACACAATTGAGTCAGTGGCACCGGCGGCCAGCAGTGGCTTGTAGGGGTGGAAGTGCAGCGCGCTCACAGGCCCGATGCGCTGGCCAAGGAAGCTGTTGTGGTAGCGCACCACGCTCAAGAGGTCCCCAGACATGTTGAATACCTGTGAGAGGGAGAGAGAAACAGACGGGAGGAAGGAACGGAAGATAGATGATTGGTTGCAACCTTTGCTGGCCTAGGAAGCTGTTGCGGTAACGCACGACACTGAGGAGGTCCTCAGGCATGTTGAACACCAGTGAGGAAGAGGGGGGGAAGGAAGGGGAATGGGAAACAACAAAAACGAGAGACCTTCAGTTTTTTTCTTTTCTTTTCTTTTCTTTTTTTCCCGCATTTCTTTCCAGGCCCTCCTGGTCGCCTGATTTGCCACACCATAGAACTCACTCTAATCAATTGTTTCGAGCTGCCCGTGGCCATGACGGGCAGGTGACGATGAACAGAGAGAGCTGTGAGGTGCCCCTTGTGCGCCTCCACTCTTCTGATTGGCTGCCCCGGATTCCGGGCATCCAAAAATGCGATCTCACCCGAGCTTGAAGCAGAGATAATCTGTAATAATCAGAGCAAGGGTAAGAAAACAGATTATAAGCTGAAAGCCAGAGATCGTTCTGCTTGCCAGAGCACATTAAAGGACACGCGCTCGTAACATACATACGGCATGGGAAAGAAGTAGTAGAAGTTCATATAACATACATGAGGCATCGGCGTGTCTATAGAAGGGGTGCTTATAACGTGCGTGAGGCATGTGAGTGCTTGTAACAAGGGTGCTTATAACGTGCGTGCGACATGCGAGTGTTTGTAACAAAGGAGCTTATAACGTACGTGAGGCATGTGAGTGCTGGCAGGATGGAAAGCGATTCCCGCAACTCGATGCGAGTGATGGTGCGTGCCACACACAAGCCTGGAGAAACAAAGGGGGGGGAAGGGTGGGTGTTCAAGAGGGAGGGGACAAGGGGCTCACGGGAGGAAGACTGGCAGAGAGACATAGGCAGCATGCCAGGAGAGAGGGTCACGGCAGAATCGGGAGGAGGGGAGGGTGACGCGTGGAAAAAGAGGGGCTCGTCAGACTCGGAGGTTCCTTCACATGTTTTCTAACGGGTCCTCATTGTCTTTCTAACAGCAAGCACACATGCACTTCACAGGGTGCACAAAATCAAAGGCGCAGACTTAGTCAGGTGAACTGTGAGCTGACTCAGGCCATCAAGGGGGGGCACGAACTTGCACCTTGCGACTGGCACACTTACTGCGCTCTTGGTTGTGAGCGAATGTCAAAAAGTCTCACGGAGCCATCGTCGCACCCTGCTGCCACGTAGCTGGGCTGGATGGCGGATGATGCCTGCGAGGGGGGGGAAAAAGGGGGGAGTGGTGGGTGGGGGGGTGGGGAGAGGGGGTTTGGAACAGGGATAGCTGACAGCAGAGCAGGGTTAAGAGCGCCATCGCCGCACCCTGCTGCCACGTAGCTGGGATGAATGGCGGATGAAGCCTGGGTGCAGGGGAGAAAGGGGGGTTGGGGAGGGTGGGACAGGGATAGCTGAGAGAGCAGAGAGTGCAAGAGTTGCAGAGCCATCTCACCAGCACAGTGACGGTCTGCCGACACACACTGTGAACCAGCAGATACCTGCCTAGGTGTGCCTGAAACCATCCCTTGAGCCAATCATGCGACAGTGCTCAAGAACCACAGCTCGTGTGACCTGGGAGGCGTAAAACTTTGCTTACCAGCCCTGTGACAGCGGAATCACACTCTGTTGCCACACTGTGGTCCAGAGCTCCCTGCCGTGGTGTGCTTTGAGTAGCGCACGCACTTGTGGGTCCTTAAAGGTAGCTCACCGCAGCACTCACCAGCGCAGTAACGGCGGAGTCACACTCTGTCGGCACGCTGTGTGCCAGCAAATGCCAGTCCAGGCGTGCTTCGAGTAGCGCAATTGCTTGTTTTTAGTGGGCTCACACACACCACGCCACAGATGCATTGCACTCACCTGCGCAGTAACGGCGGAGTCCCACTCTGTCGGCACGCTGTGTGCCAGCGGCTCCCTGACCAGGTGTGCTTCGAGTAGCGCACTTGCTTGTTTTTAGTGAGCTCACACACACCACACAACAGCTGCACTGCACTCACCAGCGCAGTAACGGCGGAGTCACACTCTGTCGGCACGCTGTGAGCCAGCAGCTCCCTGTCGAGGTCCCACACCAGAATGGAGGAGATTTCCCCGGATGCGTACTGGTGGAGGGGAGGGGTAAAACAGCACAGAGAGGAATAGGTTCAAGGCAATAAGCAAAGAAGGAGAATGGAGGTAGGCTGTGCACCAGAAGCTCCCTGTCCAGGTCCCACACCAGAATGGACGAGATTTCTCCAGATGCGTTTAGGGTTTAGGGTGGGGTGGATGGGAGGGGCACATAGAGACGGGGCAAATTTGTGGTTCTACGTGATTTTTCACTGTGCGGTTTCTTCACTGTGCGCCAGCAGCTCCCTGTCCAGATCCCACACAAGGATGGAGGAGATCTCCCCCGAGGCGTACTGGTGAGGTGGATGGAAGGGGCGTAGTGAGTGTGAAGTTTCGTCACTGTGAGACAGCAGCTCCCTGTCCAGGCCCCACACCAGAATGGACGAGATTTCCCCTGAGGCATACTGTTGGTGGGAGGGGTAAAGGGGGACAGGGGCGAGGGGAGGGGGGAGGGGGGAGGAGGGTTGTTAAAGCAATCAGAGGGGCGAACATAGAGAACATTGCTGCTGTGCGCGAGCCAGCAGGTCCCTGTCATGTTCCCAGAAAATAATAGAAGAGATTTCCTGAGATACGTATTGGTGGGGGGGAGGGAGTGGTAAAACAGTAGAGCGGAATGGGATCTGGTAGCTTCCGGCTTGCGGCATGCATTAAGTACACAAGGAGACTGGATGCATGCTGTGAGCCAGAAGCTCCCAGTTCAGTTCCCACACAAAAATGGAGGCGAACCCAAGACAAATCAAACAAGAACGCAAGCAGATCCACGCATATCAGAACTCAAGGCATTCAAGAATGTGCCAGGTACCCCATGGGCCACGGGTTGCTGCCACTCCACCACTGATCCCGTTCGCCCGCTCGCCCTCTCGCCCCCACCCCCTCCCACACCCCCACCACCTCCCATGCCCCCACCCACACCAGCACCAGCACCAGCACCAGCACCAGCACCAGAACGAAAACGAGAAATATCAAGTTTCAAGAGATTCCAAGAACCAACCGGATACCCCATGACTTGCTGCCATTCCAGCACTGATCCTGTCCGCCCTCTCACCCCCTTGAAGCCCCCACCCCCTCCCCAACCCCCACCCCCACCCCCACTCCCCACCCCACCTCTCCCACCAATGCCAGGAATATCAGGACTTAATACGTTCAAGAACGTACCAGATACCCCATGAGTTGCTGCCACTCCGCTCCACCACTGCTCCTCTCCGTCCTCTCACCCCCATGCCCCCACCCACCCCCTCCCACACCCCCCACAGCAGAACTACACATACATATCAAGACTCAAAGACATTCACGAACGTACCAGGTACCCCATCAGTTGCTGCCACTCCACTCCACCACTGCTCCCGTCCGCCCTCTCACCCCCATGCCCCCCACCCCCTCCCACAACCCACCCAGCAGAACTACACATACTATCAAGACTCGCCCTATCAACACTCAAGTCGTTCAAGAACGTACCAGGTACCCCATCAGCTGCTGCCACTCCACCACTGCTCCCGTCCGCCCTCTCACCCCCACCCCCCCACCCCCTCCCACAACCCACCCAGCAGAACTACACATACTATCAAGACTCGCCCTATCAACACTCAAGTCGTTCAAGAACGTACCAGGTAACCCATCAACTGCTGCCACTCCACCACTGCTCCCGTCCGCCCTCTCACCCCCACCCCCCACCCCCTCCCACACCACCACCAGAACCCATCCCTCCCATCCCACCGCTGCTGCTGCTGCTCCCGCTGCTGCCGAAGCTGCTGCCAAACCCGCCGCCGAAGCTACTGCCGAAGCTGTTAGGTGAAGCAAGAGGCTCGGAAGCCCGCCCCTGTTGGCTCCGCTGCTGCTGCTGCTGTTGGTCTAAGCGCTGGTTAGTAGAGTGGTGCTGATGATGCCGATGCGTATGTGAGTTAGAGTCAGTTAACTGTTGCTGTTGTGACTGGAGATTAGAGGATGAGAGGGATGAGGAGAAGTGAGAGGCGGAAGAGGGGGGGTTGGAGGAGGGACGGGCAGAGGAGGAGGAAAGGGAGGAGGGAGAGGAGGAGGAGGAGAAGAACTGGGATTGGGATTGGACTGCTTGCCATGCCGTGGCTAGCCGTTGCTTGCCCCGTCGAGCAAAGTCCCTCCACACCCTCACACTGCCGTCCCCTGTGTGACGGAGGGAGGGAGGGAGAACACGAAATGCAAACACCTGTTGAATGGTTGAAATAGGATCAGTGCCGTGCAAGACAGCTATGAGTGAGTGTGAGAGAGGAGGAGAGGAGAAGAGGAGCCCTTACTTACAGGAAGCCACAGGCAGCAGCATGCCGTCAAGCTCGTTGAGCAGAGAGGAGAATAGAGGTGAGTAGCAGACAAACAAGCCAAAACAGTCAAACAGAGCCACGAGAAAGTGAGGAGGAGAAGAGGAGGAGGAGACGAGGAGAAGAGGAGAAGAGGAGAAGAGGAGAAGTGGAGAAGGGGAGACCTTACGGGAGGCCACGAGCAGCAGCGTGTCGTCGAGCTCGTTGAGCAGACGGACAGAGAGTGAGAGGTAGGAAGAGGGAATGACAGGACAGCAGCAGAGATACGGGATAAGGGCAACTTCTTACTGGACGCCACGAGCAGCAGCGTGTCGTCGAGCTCGTTGAGCAGACACAGCTGGCTCACCCCCTTGTGGCCGTCCGCGCTCCCACCCCCACCAGTCTGGTTGTCAAACATGCTCACCGTCAGCCCCTCCTCATAGTTCCAGATCCTGCAGGAAGGAACGAGGGAGGGAGAAGAAGGGCATGTGCCATGTTAGGTACACTCATACATGCAAGCACACCCCCTCCCTCCCGTATGGCCGTCTGGTTGTCAAACATGCTCACGGTCAGCCCCTCCTCATAGTTCCAGATCCTGCAGGAAACAGGGGGGAGGGAGGAGAGGGGGGGAGGAAGACGAGAGAAAGAGAAAGAGGGGAGAGAAGGCCATGATGCCCAGTGGTCAATACCATCATGCATGCCAGCACACCCCCTCCCGTCTAGTTGTCAAGCATGCTCACGGTCAGCCCCTCCTCATAGTTCCAGATCCTGCAAGGGAGAGAGAGAGGGAATAGAAGGCCATGATTCCCCGTGTTCAATACCGCCGCACATGGAAGCACCCTCCCACCCGCCTGGTTGTCAAACATGCTCACGGTTAGTCCCTCTCCTCGTAGTTCCAGATCCTGCAGGGGAGAGAGAGAGGGAATAGAAGGCCATGATCCCCCGTGTTCAATACCGCCGCACATGGAAGCACCCTCCCACCCGCCTGGTTGTCAAACATGCTCACGGTTAGTCCCTCTCCTCGTAGCTCCAGATCCTGCAGGGGAGAGAGAGAGGGAATAGAAGGCCATGATCCCCCGTGTTCAATACCGCCGCACATGGAAGCACCCTCCCACCCGCCTGGTTGTCAAACATGCTCACGGTTAGTCCCTCTCCTCATAGTTCCAGAGCCTGGAGTGGACAAGGGGGGGAGGAGGGGAAGTGAAAGAGGGAAGAGAAGAGAATGCCCCAAGTTGATTACCATCACACGTTCCAGCACACCCCACCCTTGCGGTTGTCGAGCACAATGGTCGGCTCAACAGGCATCGTAAGATGCAGGCAATGAAACTAAAACACGCCTTGCCGAGCATCGCCAGTGGTCGTCACTCATGGTCTTGAGCAGAAAGAAACAGGCATTGCCGAGCATCGCCAGTGGTCGTCACTCATTGCCGAGCATCGCCAGTGGTCGTCACTCATTGCCGAGCATCGCCAGTGGTCGTCAATCATGGTCTTGAGCAGAAAGAAACAGGCATTGCCAAGCATCGCCAGTGCTTTTACAGATCACACCATTCAAGACGACAGGTACTGCACAGCACACCATTCAAGAAGGCAGGTACCGCACAGCACAGCTTGAGATGCCACGTACCGTATGACTTCGTTTTCGTCCGCTATGCACACTAGAGGCAGCAAGGGGTGCAGGTGAATGGATTTTCAGGCGCCTCAAAGGCAGACTGCCAGTGCTGCTATGCTATGTACCAAAGAGCTTGAGTTGTTACTTACATGCCGTACAGCTTGCAGTATCACGTACCGTACGACTTCGTTTTCGTCCGCTATGCACACGAGAGGCAGCAAGGTGTGCAGTGCAGGTGAATGGCTTTTCAGGCGCCTCAAAGGCAGACTGCCAGTCTTACACAACGTACCATGTGAGAAGCAAAGCGCACCGTACAGAGCTTGAGATATCACGTACCGTACGACTTCGTTTTCGTCCGCTATGCACACGAGAGGCAGGAAGGGGTGCAGGTGAACGGCCTCCGTCATCATGTCCGACTCCGTGTCAAAGCTGGCGATCTGGTCGCTCACTTTGCTAACTGCTGCACACCGGGGGGGGGGGGGCGGGGGGGGGGGATAAGAAGAGCGGCAGGAAGGGGTGGAGTCAGACTCGGTGTCAAAGCTGGCGATCTGGTCGCTCACTTTGCTAACTGCTGCACACGGGGGGGGGGGGGGGGGGGGGGGGGGGGGGGGGGGGGGATAAGAAGAGCGGCAGGAAGGGGTGGAGTCAGACTCGGTGTCCAAGCTGGCGATCTGGTCGCTCATCTTGCTCACCGCTGGAGAAAGGAGGACGGGCGGATGAACATCAAGGACCGGGGAATAGGAGAGAGAGCAGGATGGGGACTGAGGGAAGAAGGGAGGGAAGGAGGGAGGGAAGGAAGGAGGGAAGGAAGGAGGGACGGAGGAGGGGCGAGAACAGCCTCTGTCATTGGTGTCGAAGCTCACGATCTGGTCGCTCACCTTGCTCACCGTGGCACGTGGTATAAGGAGAAGGGTTGTTGTGGGAGAGGGTTGTTGTGGGAGAGGGTTGTGGGAGAAGGGTTGTTGTGGGAGAGGGTTGTGGGAGAAGGGTTGTTGTGGGAGAGCTTTTGAGTCGACTCAAAAGCAGACGTGGTATACGGAGAAGGGTTGTTGTGGGAGAGGGTTGTGGGAGAGGGTTGTGGGAGAGGGTTGTGGGAGAGGGTTGTGGAAGAGGGTTGTGGGAGAAGGGTTGTGGGAGAGGGTTGTGGGAGAAGGGTTGTGGGAGAGGGAAGGATGAGGAATGGGAAGAGCGGCAATCAGGGGTGCAGTGCAGGTGAAAGGCCTCATGTGCACCCCATGCCTTTCCCCAAGCACTCACTGGCTCGTCTGTGCTCTTCAACGCCCACCACCGCCCTCCTCTCTCTCCAAAAACTCTGACAAACCAAACACTGACTGGTGCTCTTCCACCCCACCCCATTCCCCTGCACCCGCTCATCTAGTTTTGAGGCGCCTCAAAACCCACCCCATTCCCCTGCACCCGCTCATCTAGTTTTGAGGCGCCTCAAAACCCACCCCATTCCCCTGCACCCGCTCATCTAGTTTTGAGGCGCCTCAAAACCCACCCCATTCCCCTGCACCCGCTCATCTAGTTTTGAGGCGCCTCAAAACCCACCCCATTCCCCTGCACCCGCTCATCTAGAAACCACACTTACTGGCTCGCCTGCACTCCTCCACCCCGTCAACCGTCCTCCTCTCCTAACTCTCCTATCTCCTCTCTCCTACCAACCACCCACCACTCATCAAGAAACCACACTTACCGGCTCGCCTGCACTCCTCTACACCCTCCACCGCCCTCCTCTCTCTCGCCGCCCGCCTCGTCTCCGCCTCGGCGTCCGTCACTGCCTCCAGCAGCGGGCGCAAGAAGTGCCCGCAGCTCCATGCGGACAGCTCCGACTTGGGCACGGGCATTGAGAAACCCAGGGAACAACCTCACTATACCATTCCAGCACAACACACACTAACTGGCTCTCTTCCCCCCCATCCCATTCCCCCACACCCGCTCATCAAGAAACCACACTTACTGGCTCGCCTGCACTCCTCCACACCCTCCACCGCCCTCCGCTCTCTCGCTGCCCGCCTCGTCTCCGCCTCGGCATCCGTCACCGCCTCCAGCAGCGGGCGCGAGAAGTGCCCGCAGCTCCATGCGTACAGCCCCGACTTGGGCAGAGGCTTCGCCTGCGCCGCCGCTGCTGCGTCCAGCGGCAGAAACGGGTCCAGGAGGGACGCCCCCAGACCACCGGCAGCACCAACAGAACCACCAGCGCCAGCAGCAGAACTAGTAGCACCACCAGCATTGAAATAAGGAGCACTGGACCCAGGATTGGGATAGGCAGCATAGCTTGCAGGAGCCGCACCAGCAGCGGCACCAGCAGCAGCTGCAGCCGCAGCAGCAGCTCCAGCAGCAGAAGCAGCACCAGGGGAAGTGGCAGGGGCAGCGGCACGGGCAGCGGCGGCAGTAGAAGGTCGAGAGGAGGAGGAGGTGGTGGTAGAGGTGGGGTTTTGGGGGCGACTGGGGAAGGCGGTATGTGCAGGTGGATTGGATGGCTGAGAGGTGGAGTCTGATGCAGCAGCTGCATGCTGCTTGGGGGGGTGCGGATGGAGAGAGCAAGCGACACAAGCTCAATCCAACAATACGTGTCATCAAACAGTCATCCGGACAGCAGATGACTTGTAACAGTAGATGACAGCAGAGCGAGTGACAGCAGATGACTTGTAACAGGTGCATCAAACGGGACACACATGCTAGCAAACACGAGTTAAACTGGCCATTAAGTTGAATACACTCACATATGGGGAGGGTGTCTTCCTCCAGTGAGAGCCCCTCAGCATGTGCACCCCCCCCCCCCCAACCCCAATGATCTCCCCTTTCCCCATTCTGCAAGAAACGAACTAGTCATGCTTTTCAAACTGGCAGACTCACATTTGGTCTCAAGGGCGGATGCCCCCCTGTGAGAGACGACAGCACGTGCACCCCCCCAAGAATCTCCCCGTTCCCCATCCCCCCCATCTGCCGTTGCTGCTGCTGCTGATGCTGCTGCTGGGACGAGGAAAAATCGACAGAAGTCATCACCCGCCGCATCCCATTGTCCCGAGCCTGCATTCCCGAGCCTGCTGCCAGCATCGGCAGCCCGAGGCTGTCCCGAGCCACCAGGCCAAACGGGTCTCTGGCTTGGAGGAACCCTGAGGCTGCGGCAGCAGAGGGTGACATGGCTAGCTGTGGCGCTGCCAGCTGTCGCCAGCTGCCCATTGGATGAGGAGCTGAGGGAGGGGCGAAGGGGTTGCGAAGAAGAGGCGAGGGAGGGGCGAGCAAGGGGGGGCAATGGGGGGGAGGCAGGAAATTGAAGTAAGCACTCATAACAACAGGCAGAATCTCCAAGGTCGGTGCAGCAGCAGACAGGGACATGGCTAGCGGTGGCGCTGTGGCGCTGTGGTACTGCCAGGTGGCGCCAGCTGCAGAAGCAGGAGGCGGCACGGGGGGCTGGAGTAACCAAGAGCAACCTAACAGAACCAAACAGTAAGTGGGGCCCACGAAATACAGCCGCCACTCACTCTCGTCACTGACCTAGTCCAAGTGATTGTCAATCAATGACGCTCCTGCAGAAGCAGAGGCAATCAGGCGATCGTGCGATCGTCTCACCATTGATGGGCGCAACCCATGAAGTTGATTTTTGAGGCGCCTCAAAAATGCGATCGTCTCACCATTGATGGGCGCAACCCATGAAGTTGATTTTTTAGGCGCCTCAAAAATGCGATCGTCTCACCATTGATGGGCGCAACCCATGAAGTTGATTTTTTAGGCGCCTCAAAAATGCGATCGTCTCACCATTGATGGGCGCAACCCATGAAGTTGACCGCGTGATCGCAGGAGCCAAGCCAGCAGCCAATGGGGAGGGGACACGTGGACTCATCGCAGGACTCATGAGCCCATGGTGCCCCATACCCCCTCCTACCGCACCCAACCCTGGCAAACCCACAGGCCCTGGCCCCCCCACCATCCCCACTCCCATCCCTCCCACCCCTCCCATGCCCCCTGCCCCTCCCACGGCTGCTGCAGCAGCAAGAGACAGACTCGGATTGCCTATACCGCCGCCGCCACCACCAGCACCAGCCGCACCCCCAGCACTGATAATCACTGTCCCGCCCTCCCTGCTGCTGCTTCGACTCAAGTTGCTGAAGCTAGCAGAAGGGGCTAGGCCCCCTCCTGCCATGCCCCCCCCAACACCCATGCCTGGAACCATCATCGGCATCATAAACGTGTCATACCCCATCCCAGCTCCAGCCATCCCTCCTCCGAATCCCCCTCCCCCACCTCCCCCCATTCCTCCTCCTCCTCCTCCTGCTGCCGCTGCTGCTGCTGCATTAAGACTCGTTGCTGCTGCTGCCACGGACGCGCCTATTTGAGCCAGTGTCTGTCGGCTGATCTTAGAAACGGACGGTGCAGGATCCCTAGCAAGGGTGTACACCGCAATCATACTCTGCAGATAAGTCGCACTGTCAGCAACATCTAGCTCCCCCCATATAAGCCCCCCGTTAGGGCCCATACCCGGACCTACCCTGCCTGCTCCTTGCCCCAACCACCCTGCTCTTCCCCCCCTTACAGTCACATCGCCTGGAGGCATCCCTAACACTCTTCCCGGCGAGGCGCTGACAGGCTCGGCGGAGCCCCTGAGGAAGGAGAGGTCCGGTGCCGAAGCTGACAGGCTGGTTGGGGACGAGAGGGAGAAAAGAGGACCTCGAGACGGGGGGGGCAGTGCAGTGACTGCATCGCCTGTAGCGGCAACAGCAGCTGCCGCTGCTACAGCCGCTGCTGCTGCTACTGCAGCAGCTGCTGCTGTAGCAGCAGAGGTTGACGGAGGGTTCACTGCTGAAAGCCCCATCCCACCTGGATTTTCACCTGACTGCCTAGCGTCACCTAGTGCAGCCTCGCTCTCAGAAGCACCTTCTGCTATAGGAACAATTCCGTTGACCAAGGGCGGAATCACTATTGTAGCACCACTAGCCACACCAACTGCTGCTGCTACTGCAGTTGAGCCTGCACCAGATGCTGACTCCCCTCCTCCTTTACTTCCTCCCACACCCTGCACTTTCACCCCTCCCGCCCCTGCTGTTGCTGCTGCTCCCCCCCCGCCATCCCTCTCCCCTTCCTCCTCATACACTCTCAGATACGAAGCTGACCCTCCCGAAGCTGCTGTGTTCCCCGAACCTGCTGCCGTACCTCCCGAGCCTACTCCCGAACCTGTGGCATCGAACGACTGTGCGAGCATCCGCCCCACCACTGCCGAGCCTGCGGTGGTGGACTGGAGGACCGGGAGAGGTGCGTTCACCGCCGGACCTGGACGGGGATACAGCCTCCCGTCCGTCCCGAGCCTAAGCCCTACCATGTTGACTTGGGCGGCAAGAGAGGGAAGGTTGGCTCCCGAACCAGAGGCCGGTATGGCACCACCAGGAACTGCTCCGGTGCTATTCACTCCTCCTACCAACCCCCCTCCGTTCGCGGCTGCTCCCCCTCCTGCAACCCCCCCTCCTGCTTCCCCTCCACCTCCACCCATTCCCAAACCTGCCATTTTTTCTGTGAATCCATGCACATCCGAGCCTGTTTGTCCCGAGCCTGCGCCGAGCCTGTCCAGTTCCGAACCGCACCTGCTGAACCCCATGCCTGCTGCGCTGCCGGCCACGAGTGACGGGCGGCACAGATAAGATGCCGCAGCGAGGCGAAACGGGCGGCGATGTCCGTGAGCTATTCTGGCGAGAGCTATAGCCAGCTCTTTCCTAACCATCGGACTCCCGTCATTCAGAACTTTAAGTAGCACCTGCAAAACTCCTCGCTCTGCTGCTAATCTGTGCTCCTCCCTCCACTCCGCCCCAGCTGAATCCACCCCAGATAAGCTCGCACTGCTTACACCTGCACCTGCTGCTCCCTGTGCCCCTGCTGCTGCTGCCCCTTGCTCTGAGCCTGGTGCTCTACTTACAGTGCCTGCTGCTGCCGCCCCTGCTGCTGCAGCTGCTCCTGCTGTGCCTGCTACCCCTGCTGTGCCAGATGAACCCTCCCCCAGAACCGCCCCAGCACCACCTCCTGCACCTGTCCCCGCTCCTGTTGCTCCCGCTCCTACTCCTACTCCTGTTGCTGGGTTCCCTTCCCCTGGCTGAGGCGACTCCGAAGCAATGTGGATTAAAGCGCCCAGGGCATATGTGGCTGCTGCACGCACCTGCAGGTGCAACATGGGACAGAGGGGGGGTTTTGCTGACGGACGAATGGGGAGAGAGAAGGGTTTTGGGGGGGGTTCCAGAAACGCCACCGTGGATTAGGGCGCCCAGGGCATATGTGGCTGCTGCCCGCACCTGCAGGTGGAACATGGGGTGGGGACAGAGGGGGGGGTTTGCTGACAGACGGACAATGGGGCGAAAGAAGGGTTTTGGGGGGGTTCCAGAAACGCCAATGTGGATCAGGGCGCCCAGGGCATATGTGGCTGCTGTACGCACCTGCAGGTATTGAGGCGCCTCAAAACATGGGGACAGAGGGGGGGGTTTTGCTGACAGACGGACAATGGGGCGAGAGGGGGGTTTTGGGGAGATTCCACACACAGCAATGTGGATCAGAGCGCCAAGGGCACATGCTGAGGGGGCTGCCCGCACCTAGTAGAAGGGGCGTGAGAACAGGGAGGTTTCAGGAGGAGAGCTCTAAGGGTTAGGGTTTCAAGGCCTAGGTTTCTGGATAAAAAATTGAAGGGTTAGTGTTAGGCTGTCTCAGAGAGGATGCGAGGGGCGTGGTGCTGCAGTATTGGAGATTCTAGGGTTAGGGTTTCACACAGTAGGGCTTCTAGGAATTCGGGTTTCACTCTCACCTCAGGCTGCGGCTCTGAGAGCAGGGGCGAGAGGATCTGAGGGGCATGGTGTTGTGTGTGCCTCTGGTGCCCCACCGCAAGGGGTTAAGGGATTCGGAGCATTCGGGTTCAGGTTTCACTCTCACCTCTGGCTGCGGCTCTGAGAGCAGGGGCGAGAGGATTTGCGGGGCGTGGTGTTGTGTGAGCGCTGCTGCCTGTGCCTCGGGCGCCCCGCCCCACAGCTTGCCCACGCACAGGCACAGCCACTGCAGCAGCAGGGGCTCTGCTGGGGGCGCCGCCTGAATGTGCATGAGACACAGAGGGATGAGCCCGGCCTGGGGAGAGGGGAGGAGGGGAGCGGTGGCCATAGAGAAGGGTAAGGGATGTGAAATGCAGGACTGAGAAAGGAAGGGGGGGCCTTGAATACCCACCCACAGCCACAGCGACTGCAACCACACACAACCCCGATTCCAAACACTAGACCCGAAAATTCTACCTGCAATCAAGCCTCGTGTCCCTTGGGGTGGCCGTCGCAAATGAGCGCAAGCACAAACGCCGCCATGGCCCACTGAAAGGAAAGCCAGGTCCACAACCCCTAAACTTTAAAACCTGACCATGAACCCTCTCAGCCAGCCCACCTGCAAGCACGCCTGGTGGCCCTTGGGGTGGCCGTCGCATGTGAGTGCGAACACAAACGCGGCCATGGCTCGCTGAGAGAAATGCCAGGCCCACAACCCTAAACCTTAACCCGAAACCCACTCAACCAGCCCACCTGCAAGCACGCCTGGTGGCCCTTGGGGTGGCCGTCACAGATGAGTGCAAGCACAAAGGCCGCCATGGCTCGCTGAAACGCCACTGTGGCACGCTCCCTGGGGTCGGAGGAGTAGGGCTCGTGCGTCTCCAGGCACTTGATAAAATACATGTGGCCGCCGTCTCGCACCAGGTCCACCTGGCATGACTGTAGAATGGCAGGAAGGGAGACGGCAGGGAAGAGGGGCAGAGAGACGGAAGAGTAGTGAGCATGGGGTCAGCAAGCGCTCCCTGGGATCTGAGGAGTAGGGCTCGTGCATCTCCAGGCACTTGATAAAATACACGTCGCGCACCAGGTCCACGTGGCATGACTGGTAACAGGGGAGCAGGGGAGGGAGAGAGAGAAGGACATGAGGCATCATACCAGAATGCGCTCCCTGCGGTCCGAGGAGTAGGGCCCGTCCGCCTCGAGGCACTTGATGGGACACATGATATACATGATACACATGATACACATGATACACATGATCCACATGATACACATGATCCACATGATACACATGATACACATGATACACATGATACACATGATACACATGATCCACATGATCCACATGATACACATGATACACATGATACACATGATACACATGATCCACATGATACACATGATACACATGATACACATGATACACATGATACACATGATCCACATGATCCACATGATACACATGATATACATGATATACATGATACACATGATACACATGATACACATGATATACATGATACACATGATACACATGATCCACATGATATACATGAGGAGTCTATTTTTTAGGCGCCTCAAAAATAGACGCCACGAGGCACTTGATGGGATACATGATACACATGATATACATGAGGAGTCTATTTTTTAGGCGCCTCAAAAATAGAGGCCTCGAGGCACTTGATGGGATACATGATACACATGTTATACATGAGGAGTCTTATTTTTTAGGTGCCTCAAAAATAGACGCCTCGAGGCACTTGATGGGATACATGATACACATGATACACATGACACACATGATCCACATGATACACATGATACACATGATACACATGATATACATGATACACATGATACACATGATACACATGATATACATGATACACATGATACACATGATACACATGATATACATGAGTCGTCTATTTTTTAGGCGCCTAAAAAATAGACGCCACGAGGCAATTGATGGGATGGGACACATGATACACATGATATACATGATACACATGATACACATGATATACATGAGACACATGATACACATGATATACATGAGACACATGATACACATGATATACATGAGACACATGAGAAGAGGGGAGCAGAGGACGACTGAAAGAGAGGGGACAGAGTGAAGAAGCGAGTAGGGCTTGCGCCTCTACAAGGGCTTGCGCCTCTCCAAGGGCTTGCGCCTCTCCAAGGGCTTGCGCCTCTCCAAGGGCTTGCGCCTCTCCAAGGGCTTGCGCCTCTCCAAGGGCTTGCGCCTCTCCAAGGGCTTGCGCCTCTCCAAGGGCTTGCGCCTCTCCAAGGGCTTGCGCCTCTCCAAGGGCTTGCGCCTCTCCAAGGGCTTGCGCCCCTCCAAGGGCTTGCGCCCCTCCAAGGGCTTGTGCCTCTCCAAGGGCTTGCGCCTCTCCAAGGGCTTGCGCCTCTCCAAGGGCTTGCGCCTCTCCAAGGGCTTGCGCCTCTCCAAGGGCTTGCGCCTCTCCAAGGGCTTGCGCCTCTCCAAGGGCTTGCGCCTCTCCAAGGGCTTGCGCCTCTCCAAGGGCTTGCGCCTCTCCATCACACACCAGGTCGACCTCACAGGAGCACCAGGTCGCCTCTCCCTGCGCCTCTCCATCCAAGGGCTTGCACCAGGTCGACCACACAGGACAGGAAAGATGAGGAGCAGAGGGAAAGAAGGACGGGGCGAGGCTACGCCGCAAGGGACGCAGTATGCGAGGAGGAAGACAACATGTTTCTACGTCGTTCTGCATACCTTATCCAGCGCCAAGATCTTGGTCCATATAAACACGAGGATTTGCCGCAGCTCCACGGCGCTGGTCTGCAGCAGCTTGAGCACGTAGGGGAATATGCCCACTGAGAGCGCCTGGGGGGTACGAGGACGGGGTGGGGCGGATTTTTTAGGCGCCTCAAAAAGATTTGCCGCAGCTCCACTGCGCTGGTCTGCAGCAGCTTGAGCACGTAGGGGAATATGCCCACTGAGAGCGCCTGGGTGGAAGGTACGGGGAAGTTGCAGGGTATTTTTGAGAATTTGCAGGGTATTTTTAAGAATTCTCAAAAATACCCTGCAAAAGCTTGAGCACGTAGGGGAATATGCCCACTGAGAGCGCCTGGGTGGGAGGTACGGGGAAGGGGTGGGGGGGGCGCACACGAGGGAAAGAGGCTAAGCTAAGGGCAGTCACCACTGAGTGGCTTCAAATCTCAACGACTTTGAAGTGCAATTGTGTAACCTCTCGAAGTAAGGAATTGCATATTACTAGGACTAAACAGCGGTGAACAGCTCACAACGGAAAGAGAGTGCAGGGGGAGGGGGGAGAGGGGCGAGGCAGCGGGGGGGGGGGAGGGGGGGGGTGGGGAGGGGAACAAGAGGAACCGATTACATGGGCTTACAAGATCAACGGCCCACGGCCCCCCCATGTGACTAAAGACTCACAAGGTCGACGGCCCATGGGCCCATGTCAAGGAATCGGCCAAGAAGCACCAGAGCTCGCAGCCGGTGGGAGTGACTGAGAAGCACCTGAGGGAGGGAGACGAAAGAGAGTGAAAGAGGAAAGAAGACTTGTTATAAAGTGACTTGAAAGGGCCAGAAAAGAAGGGAGGGGTGTGGAAGGCGAAAGGACAGAACTGGTGGCCGAATAAAAGGCGTGTTTTTTAGAATTCTCAAAAACTGGTGGCCGAATAAAAGGTTGTGGTAAGATCAGCAGGCTTGAGAGAGGAGCAAGAGGGCAAAGAGCAGAACAATGATAAGCAGGCAAGGGTGAAAGAGCAGGAAAGGGGCGAAGGGTGAATGCGAATGTTTTACCACCAACCTCATCTCGTGTGCAAGGCAATCTCATGTGCATCGATTGTTTTGCATACCTGCAGCACAATCGGCAGCTGCTCTGGGGGTCTCTTCTTGTCGCTCCCATGCTCCAGCCACACCCTCCCCCCCCCCCTCTTCCCGCCCTCCTTTCTATCACTCCCCCCCCCTTTTCCGCCCTCCTTTCTCTCACTTCCCCCCCCTTCCCGCCCTCCTTTCTCTCACCCCCCCCTTTCCCGCCCTCCTTTCTCTCACTCCCCCCCCCCTCCCCCCCCTCCTTTCCCTCACCCCCACCTCCCACACCGACCTGCAGCACAATGGGCAGCTGCTCTGGGGGTCTCTTCTTGTCGCTCCCATGCTCCAGCCACACCTCAAACGCCATCAGCTGCTGCGAGAAGAAGCTGCTGGGCTGGCAGACGGCAGCAAGGGGACGGGAGAGGGAGCGGGGGGGCCGGGGGGGAAGGAAGAGGGGTTACCCGGGGGGGCCGGGGGGGACGCGCTTCAGAATGTGCTCCGGCCACACCTCAAACGCCATTAGCTGCTGCGAGAAGAAGCTGCTGGGCTGGCAGACAGCAAGGGAGGAGCGGCAGAAAAAGAAGGGGAGAGGAAGAGGGGAGTAATGAGGAAGGACAGCCTCGAATGTGTGTAATGAGTCGACTTTTGAGCCGACTCATTACAGACAGAAAAAGAAGGGGGGAGGAAGGGGGGGAGTAGTGAGGAAGGACAGCCTCGAATGTTGCTCCAGCCACACCTCAAACGGCATGAGCTGCTGGGCGAAGAAGCTGCTGGGCTGGCAGACAACAGTAAGGAGACGAGAGAGGGGGAAGTCCGTGGGGGAGGAGAAGTGGGGTACTGAGGCTCGCGTGAGAATGTGCTCCAGCCACACCTCAAACGCCATCAGCTGCTGCCTGCAAGACGAGGCTGCTGGGCTGGCAGAAGATAGCAGAGGGGAGGAAGGGGTGAAGGGGTGAAGGGGGAGAGGGAGACGGAGGGGGACGGAGGGGGCTCGGGGGAGGAAGAGTGATGTTTGGGGGAAGGATGGTTACATAGGGCACGTTGGTACAAGCTCCAGCCACACCTCCCACGCCATGAGCTGCTGGGAGAAGAAGCTGCTGGGAGAAGAAGCTGGGAGAAGAAGCTGCTGGGAGAAGAAGCTGCTGGGAGAAGAAGCTGCTGGGAGAAGAAGCTGCTGGGCTGGCAGATAACAGTAAGGGGACGAGAGAGGGGGAGGGCCAAGAGAGAGGGGGGGGGAGGAAGACGGTACGGAGGGACACATGAGATTGTGCTCCAGCCAGTTTTTGAGAATTCTAAAAAGCCAGCTTACTTCAAACACCATGAGGTGCTGGGAGAAGAAGCTGCTGGGCTGGCTGACAGGGGAGCGAAGGACAGGGAAGAGAGGAGTGAGGAGGAAGAGGCGGAGTGTTATAAACAAGGAAGATAAATAGAAGATAAATAGAAAATAGAATGGAATGGTCCGAGATGATCCCAGGACTGGAATGGTCTGCTATGAAGATCAAGATGAGGAATACCAGATGATTCTTACTGATGCCTCTATCCACTAGCCCACTTAAAACAAGTAGGAGTTTCCTTCACAGAAGATGTTACATAGGCTGTCTAAAAGGAGGCACTAGCTTGCCTAAAACACATGCTTAAAGCTTGCCTAAAGCAAAGGCTTAAGCTCGCCTGGAACTCGGCGTTGGGATCCGCGAGGAGCGTCGGCAGCTGCGCTAGACACATCTCCGCTGCCATGTCCCATGCGTGCCTGGGAGGAGGCGAAACACGGGGGAGAGAGGAGAAAGCTTTTGAGTCGACTCAAAACCACGTGTAATGAGTCTGCTTTCAAGTCGACTCAAAAGCAGCTCTAGACACATCTCCGGCCATGTCCCATGCGTGCCTGGGAGGAGGCGGGGCCAGGGGGAGAGAGGAGAAAGAGGAATAAACATAGGTTTGCATGTGTCAGCACCTGTGAGAGACGCATCTCTGCTGCCAGGGTGTGGAGGGGGGGGGGGGAGAGGGAAGTATGGAGAGAGAGAAAGTAGAACACGGAGGGGTCTGGTCTGGTGTCAGACAGGGAAACGGAGGTGGAGTTGCAGAGCAGCTGTAAGAGACACATCTCTGCTGCTGCCATGTCCGGCGCTTGGCTGGGGGGGAGAGAGAGAGGGGGGGGAGAAAGAGGTAAGATAAGGCAATTTCCATTTGCAAGACACACCTCTGCTGCTGCAATGTCCCATGCACGCCTGGGAATACGCCTCACAGTACCACACATGGTAACAAACGGAAAATGGTCCTGGCACGTGGGAGGGAGCCGCGGGTACGACACCGGCATGCACCCGCTGGCTCGCATAACCCTCCCTTTCTACCTTTTCCAAGCACACCCCACACTGCCATACCACAGGTGGTGCTGGTGAGCTAAGTGGGCACATTCGCTTGGGGTCCCCCAGCGTATGCCGTAAATTCGTCAGCGTAAATTCGCGTTCTCGAATTTAGTTGAAATACGTGAATTCGCTGGGGGGTTTTTTCGGGGCAGCCTGGAAAAAAAATGCGGGAAAAAAAAAAAAAAAAAAAAAAAAAAAACGAGATTTGCGAAGTTACGGCGAAGCCAACCGTGGCCTTGCCAATTCCCCCAAACAAGCTTCCAGCCCCTTCAAAGCTCCCAACCGCATCAAACCCCCTTGCCTCTAGAAAACCCAACCAAACCACCACGCAACTCACGCTACTCTAGCATGCTGGAGGGCATAGAGCAGAAGCCCAATCTCTCCCGCAGCGTAGATCGAACTACCCTAATTCCGTGACGTTCTAGCTAGTTGATCGTATCTAAGCTTAGAACCTAGCCTACCTCACGAAGATTCAAGCAGAATGGTCGACCCTCGCAGATCGGAGAAGGTGGTAGGGAATCTGGATGGTTGATGATGTTGCTTTTGGGTGTTTATTTGTCGTGTTGTGATGGATCCCCCCAAACACTAGAACCAGCCATGAACTTTAAGTAGCAATATTTATGTCGTGCTAGACCTTTTGTGCTTAAGAAGTGTTGGCATGAAACCTCCCACGCCTGCAGTACCCTGGAAACTGGTTTTTTCCCCTGCCCGGACAGTTTTTTTCTGCCCGGTCCAAACAAATTTCAGGGTGAATTTAAAACCGGGCCCTGGCGTATGGGCGAATTTTCGCCAGCGTAAATTCGTAGCGAATTTATGCCAAACGCGAATTTGCCCACTTACCTGGTGAGTAGGCAGGAGCCGCGGGTACGACACTGGCGTACACCCACTCTCTAACTTCCCTAGCACACCCCACACTGCCATACCACAGGTGGTGCTGGTGCGTGGGGGGAAGCTGAGGATACGACACGGGCGTGCACCCGCTCGCTCTCATGACCCTCTCCGCCAGCAGAAAGTTCCGGAAGAGCGACGCCACCAGCAGGTTCTGGCGAAACAGGCGCTGGAAGAGCGGCGCGGGAAGGGTGTTCCAGGCGTGGACGGAGGCACCCACCTTGCCTAGTGCTCTAAACTACACCCCCCAGTGCCATACCAGAGGTGGTGCTGGTGCGTGGGGGGAAGCCGAGGATACGACACGGGCGTGCACCCACTGGCTCTCATGACCCTCTCCGCCAGCAGAAAGTTCCGGAACAGCGACGCCACGAGCAGGTCCTGGCGGAAGAGGCGCTGGAAGAGCGGCGCGGGGAGGGTGTTCCAGGCGATGGTGTCGGTGACGGCAGTGAAGATCCAGTTCAGCTCGCCCAGCGCCGTCTTGCGCTCGCTCTGCCGCCCGGGGATCTTCTCTATCATCTCCGGGTCCAGGGTGTCGCGCAGCAGCGATCGCCCACAGAACCTGGTTCAAGAAAGGGAGCAGAAGGGGAGGGGAGGGGAGGAGGGGAGGAAGAGGAGGGAATGCGTTCAATCATCTCAGGATCCAGGGTGTCGCGCAGCAGCGACCGCCCACAGAACCTGGTTTGGCCGGGGAGAGGGGGAGGGGCAGAGGCGGGGGATGGGTGGGGGACGGGTGTCGGTGGGGGAGGGGTGGGGAAGGGGTGAGGGCAGCCGGCAGGTCAGTCTCTCCTCCCCTTTACCACAAGCAACTCACTGCAACACACTCACCATCTGAGCGCGATCTTGATGGGGGTGGTGAGGCACGCTGTGAAGAGGTCAGCCGGCAGGTCAGGCGGCTGCGGAAGAATCTCCTCCGGGCCGCACGCCGCCAGCAGAATGCGATCGCGCATGCCCGCTGCTGCTGATGTTGCTGAGGCGGCGGCTGCTTCCCTGCCTGCTGCCGTAGGGGAGGATACTGGACTGGAAGGGGCCGCTAGAGCCCAGTCAGGACGCTGTAGGGAAGGGAGGGTGGGACGGGAGGGATGGGTGTGGGGTTGTTGGGGGGGGAGTGGGGGGGAGAGGGGGGGGAGGGAAGAGTGAGCAAGGGCAGGATCGCATCCAGGCCGCACGTCGCCAGCGGTATGCGATCGTGCATGCCCGCTCCTGCTGAGGCGGCTGCTGCTTCCCTGCCAGCTGCTGAGGCGGCTGCTGCTTCCCTGCTGCTGCTGCTGCCGCTGCTGCTGAGGCGGCTGCTGCTTCCCTGCCAGCTGCTGTTGGGGAGGATACTGGACTGGAAGGGCCGCTAGAGCCCAGTCAGAGCGCTGTAAGGAAGGGAGGGTGGGAAGGGAGGGGTCGGGGTGGCGGGCAGGCGAGAGGGGAGGGGTGGGGGGGGGGGGGGGGGGGGGGGAGAGTTGGCAAGGGGAGGATCTCCTAGGCCCACGTGCCATGCCGCCAACCAGCAGAATGCGATCGTGCATGCCTGCTGCTGCTGCTGCTGCCACTGCCACTGCTGCTGAGGCAGCTGCTGCTTCCCTGCCTGCTGCTGCTGGGGAGGATAGTGGACTGGAAGGGGTGGCGAGGGGCCAACCCAGTCAGGGCGCTGCTAGGGGGGGAATGGGGGGCAATGGGGGGGCAATGGGGGTTGACGATCGTACCAGCAAGCAGCAACAGCTCTGTTGACTTGAAGCAGGAAAGTGTCACAAAAGCGCATATATCGTACCAGCAGAGCAAGAGAGCTTTTACACCTAGCTCTGAGACGTCTAAAACTCGTACCAGCAGAACAAGAGAGTCTAGCAGTGCATCCAGCATATACGCCCTTACCTCCCCCTTGCCTCCATATACGCCCGTACCTCCCCCTTACCTCCACCAACGCCCTCACCTCCACGAACGCCTTAATGATTATGCCAGCAGCAGAGCGGTCGAAGACATGGATGGAGGGGGCAGCGAGCCACGAGGCCGCCAACTCCCTACCTCCACAAAAGCTCACAAGATCATCCCACGAGCAACCCCCCTCGCCTCCACAAAGGCGAGCCAGGAGTCGAGCTAGTAAACGGACAGGCAGAATGCTCACACCCCCACAAGGCTTCATTGAACAGGCCACAAGAAGGCCGCTTACCTCCACAACGGCGTTGATGATCATGCCGGCAGCAGAGCGATCGAAGACATGGATGGAGGGGGCGGCAAGCCACGAGTCCAACTCCCTACCTCCACAAAAGCAGACAAGATCATGCCACGAGAAAGCCCCCTTACCTCCACAAAGGCGTTGATGATCATGCCGGCAGCAGAGCAGTCAAAGACATAGATGGAGGGAGTGGCGAGCCACGAGTCAAGCTCGTAGACTGACAGGGGGATGTACTGCGTGTAGGTCTGTGGGGGGGGAGAGCGGAGTTGGAGGGGAAGGATGGAATGCATTCTGAATAGACTTAGAAGCAGCGGGGCAGTTGAAGACATAACATGAGGGAGGGAGAGGCGAGCAGGAGTGAAGAGAGATGCAGGGTGTTTTCGAGAATTATCAAAAACACCCATACCTTGTTAAACACCCATACCTTGTTAAACACCCATACCTTGTTAAACATCCATACCTTGTTAAACACCCATATCTTGTTAAACACCCATATCTTGTTAGTTAAACACCCATACCTTGTTAAACACCCATACCTTGTTAAACATCCATACCTTGTTAAACATCCATACCTTGTTAAACAACCATATCTTGTTAAACACCCATATCTTGTTAAACACCCATACCTTGTAAAACACCCATATCTTGTTAAACTACCATACCTTGTTAAACACCCATAACTTGTTAAACATCCATACCTTGTTAAACACCCATATCTTGTTAAACGCCCATACCTTGTTAAACACCCATACCTTGTTAAACACCCATACCTTGTTAAACACCCATACCTTGTTAAACACCCATATCTTGTTAAACGCCCATAACTTGTTAAACACCCATACCTTGTTAAACACCCATATCTTGTTAAACGCCCATAACTTGTTAAACACCCATACCGTGTTAAACACCCATATCTTGTTAAACACTCATCATACCTTGTTAAACACCCAGATCTCCCCATTGCTAGTGGGCTTGGGCACGCCATGGCCGTTGCAGTGGAAGAAACAGCACCCTCTCCGCCTTGGCGCTCGTTGACATGTAAACAGTCTAATGCATAACGGGGACAGACGACACGCACCTTGTTGAAGACCCAAATCTCCCCATTGCTAGTGGGCTTGGGCACGCCATGGCCGTTGTAGTGGAACAGCACCCTCTCCGCCTTGGCGTTGCGCCGGCACGTGAGGCACAGCTTCTTCACCTCCTCCACTGTGGGGTCCAGCTGCACCTTGTAGCGCGCCTGGGTGACAGAGAGGGAAAGGTGAAAGGAAAAGGAGGAAGATGAAGGGATGTGATGCAGGAAGGACGAGTGAGGCACGGCTTCTTCACCTCCTCCACTGTGGGGTCCAGCTGCACCTTGTAGCGCGCCTGGGTGACAGAGAGGGAAAGGTGCAAGGAAAAGGAGGAAGACGAAGGGATGTGATGCAGGAAGGACGAGTGAGGCACGGCTTCTTCACCTCCTCCACTGTGGGGTCCAGCTGCACCTTGTAGCGCGCCTGGGTGACAGAGAGGGAAAGGTGCAAGGAAAAGGAGGAAGACGAAGGGATGTGATGCAGGAAGGACGAGTGAGGCACGGCTTCTTCACCTCCTCCACTGTGGGGTCCAGCTGCACCTTGTAGCGCGCCTGGGTGACAGAGAGGGAAAGGTGCAAGGAAAAGGAGGAAGACGAAGGGATGTGATGCAGGAAGGACGAGTGAGGCACGGCTTCTTCACCTCCTCCACTGTGGGGTCCAGCTGCACCTTGTAGCGCGCCTGGGTGACAGAGAGGGAAAGGTGAAAGGAAAAGGAGGAAGACGAAGGGATGTGATGCAGGAAGGACGAGTGAGGCACGGCTTCTTCACCTCCTCCACTGTAGGGTCTAGCTGCACCTTGTAGCGCGCCCGAGTGACCTGTAGGACGGAACTGAGGGGAGGGTGGGCAGAAGAAGGCGGGGAAACCCTTATTCCTGAAGGTGATTGTTTAGAATTCTAACAAAAAGCATCCACTACTGTGAGTTGAGCTGGTTTTTAGAATTCTCAAAATCCACTATTGCTGTGACAAGGACGACCAAAAGCATCTGGAAACCACCTCCTCGCCTCCATTTCGTCACCCGCATATCCTCCACGATTACCGAAACCTTGACATCCTTCACACCTTGGTCATACCTGGTTACCATATCCAAGGTTACGCCTGGTTACCGCACCTTGGGATACAGCTGGTTACCACACCTTGGGCTGCCACCGCTCGTATTGCGCCTGCAGGTTCTTCCCAATGGTGTCCAGCGCCTTCTGCGCTTGCATAGAAAACGGATCTGGCGTGTGGTGGACAGGCAAACAACGCAGGGTGGAAGGGTAAAGAACAGGGTGATGCATGATAAGGAGGAGGAGGCGGTGCAGGACACGTGCGGAAGGGGGAAGGGGGACGGGGGACGGGGGACGGGTTGGAGGGGACGCGCGTGAGACGAGGTGACGGAAGGAAGGATGGTTCAACAGGAGTACGGCCAGGCAGTAGAGAGCAACTGACCGATCCAGCACTCGACTCTGGCGCACGGCGAGATCTTGATGACGTCAGGCGGGTCCACTCCGATGTTCAGGCAGAGCACGATGGCCACGCTGCTCGTCTTCATCTGGCGGGAAGGGAGGGAGGGGGAGAACGGGGGTAGGAAAGGGTGGAGGGAGATGAAAGAAGGGGGTAGGAATCGGAGAGGAGATCGATCGTCGGGTGGGGCCACTCCGATGTGGAGACGGAGGCCACTCCGGTGTTGAGCACGATGGCCACGCTGCTGCTCTTTATCTCGGGGGGAATCAGAGGGGGGGTGGAGGGAGGGGGGGGGGAAGAGAAAGGCGAGGAGGACAGGGCGGGAACAGGGGGGAAGAGCGATAGTCCAACGACGTCAAGGGGGTTCGGTCCGTGTGTAATGAGTCGATTTTTGAGTCGACTCAAAAATCGACTCATTACACACAGGGGGGAAGAGCGATAGTCCAACGACGTCAGGGGGGTTCGGTCCGATGTTGAGGCGGAGCACGATGGCCACGCTGCTGGACTTCATCTCTTCAAATGCACGGAAGGGGAGCGGGAGTGGGAAGGGAGGGGGGGGGGGGGGTTTGAGGAGGGAATGGGGAAAGAGGTAGGGGGGAAGAGGGAGGCAAAGGCGAAAGGAAGGAGATGCCAACGGGAGGGGAGATGCTGATAGCTAGTCGTATGTGCTGCCCCAGAAAGCCCATCCTCCATAAAAGCTGACCACGAAAACGATTATGCATTGCAGGACACTGTACCGTGGCTGATATCTACACCACTGCTAATCAGTCAATCGCGGATACACTGAGAGCGTTGCATTGCGCTAAAAGCAACGGCTACTGGATCATCTCAAGAAACTGGCAGACTACTAAGAAGTCTCTTCCTTGTAACGGGTAACCATGTTTCGCCGGTGAGAGCTAACGTCAATCGGCAGCAGCGGACCTAGCTCCCAGCTACAAGAGACGAGCTCGCCGCACAAAAAACCGGCTTACCGCCTAGAGCAGCAGCTCAAAAGCACAATTAAGGAACTTAAGCGTTAATATCCTAGGATCACAACGGTTTAAGCCAAGGCGATCGGCCACACTGTAGATCATACCCGGTCCTTCATCCTCCACTTAGAAACCAGTCCCGATTCCCCCGCCACCACTGATCCATCCTTGGCCTTTTCCGGATCGTGTCTCAGGTCGTTCAGGTACACTATGTGCGGGAACAGATCGTCATAGCTTATTTCGAACCTAAACGGATCGCCAGCAGCTGAGCCGCGATCCATGGCGTCAGGAGTCTCTGATCGTTTCGCAGTGCTCACATGGCGAGAAACTAAGCTACCGTAGGGTGTTCCAAAAAAGATCTGGTGACTAGAGTGACGTGATTGTGCCACTAGTGAGGGGAGAGACACAAACGATTTTAGGGTTTCCCGTTCAGGTGGTGCCGCTGGCAGGCTAGGCTTTCAGGGCGCGTCCTAGGCGCAAAAAAACTGGTTACTGGTTTCTGGTGCAGCTCGGTTGGGCACATTTAGGTGGTGGTGTGAGCGCTTTAGAAGTCTTCAGTGCGATAGATTTTTCAAAGTTGGCATTCAGGACGCGCCCTCAGGCACCAGGGCACACCGCATCACATCACTCTTTGCTGTGTCCCTGACTCAAGTCACTCCGACCACGTGGATGGCGGTGGTCGCGCGCGGAGCAGGCGGGGGAGTTTCCCCAACCCACACAACCTCCCTCGAGCTTTTCCCATACATGCGCGGTTCTGCTACCTGACTGGCTGCCCCTTGGGAACACCGCGCCTAGCTGCGGCTCTGCTCCGCGATGGCTGATCAAACGAATCAGCGGACGACACTCAGATTTTGCCGCGGAAAATGACGGCGCGTGGGCTTTGCCTGGTCGCTTCGCCGCAAGCCCCACATCACCCTGCACATGAGGAGAAAACTCCTCGTGTGCGAGTTTCTCGAATGTCGCGCTGATTTCGTTAGCCATGGTGGCGAGAAATTCGTGAACTTTTCCTGGCCGCAAACGTATGTGATTGGTCCAGAACAATTGTTCAGCAGCCACGTCACTCCAGCTGCCCTTTTTTCGCTGTTGCGATGGCGGTAAAAATCATAGTGATAACTATATGTAGGGCGTAGTACACACCCCATGAGCACGTTTACTTCTAAATATTCCAGTTATTAGTTGGGTACATTCAACGTGAAACATAGTAGTAGATCGATTTTTCGCAAGCAGTCTCGCAAAAATACATAAATTAAATATATTTACTGCGCATTTTTGACAACGTAATCTACAGAAATTGTTTCCGCAAAAGGAGACGTTGGAAACCTAGAAGTGTCGTAAAGAGAGAGAACTATACCACAAAGGATAGACGTAGCTAAAGCTTAGTACACTCCACCCCATCCCAACTCCGCAGCCGCCCCGCTCCCCCCCACCCCCACCCCCCATCCCACATCCCCCATGCACCTTGAGAATTCATATAAAGTATAGGAAATGTATTTTCCAACTAATGGTTTCCTTTGTGAACTTATGTTATGACATCGCAACGCACGTACGCGCTTTGGGATTGCCGACACCACAAAACCGTGGCAGTGACACCCTTCATTTTCTGAAATAGAACCGACAAATGCACGGGATATGTTACCTTCAACGTTCTTAAAAGCCGTTTCCTTCTCATTCCGTGGAGTGAAAAGAGAGGGTCGAGAAAGTGGTCAGTGAAGTAGAGAGTCTCACCGCTTTCATGACGTTCACTTTTGGACTCGAATGTCAGAGCGCGCGGCAATAGCTGGACTCAATTCTGTTTCGCACAATGAGTTTCTAGTACATATTGTCCCGACCATTTTGTGACAAAGGTGTTCCCTCCCTACCCCCGAAGTTCCCCCGAGTTCCTCAAGGTTCGACCAACATTCATGCAATCCCCATCCCCTCTCCCGCGCCTTCCCCCCTTCGTCGTTGCGCTTCGCTTCATGATGTGACCGTTGTCTCGATTCAATTGATCTGCCTCCAATCCTGCTCTCAAGCTTTCAGCAGTCCAAGAGAATTCCACACATTGCTGCTTGTCAGTTGCGCTTCATCTAGTCTGCTTACTGGTATCTTTCTACATCAGCTGCAGCTTGGTTTTTCAGGAACAGTAGCGAGCGAGACCCGTAGCCTGGAGGAATCGACACGAAACCCAAAGGACCACACCATTTTGCGGTAAAACGGAGGAGACATGACGTCACTTCACACGCCATTCCGCAATTTCCGCTGCAGCAGAACCTCGTGCCAAAACGAGACCTGCTGCTGAGGGAGGTCTGCAAGTGATCCGGCCGGTTACTGTACCCTTAGTCGTTTGACAGCCGACTCCCTTATCGAGCTGCGTGCGATAGGCTGGTTGATATATAAGACCGTCGTCAGATCGCAGAGCGTCGCCAGGTGTGGTTGTGCGACTCTCGGGCCAACCACACAGGAAAGGCCCTTTTTCGTTGGTGTCCTGTCCTCCTCTCCTCGCACCTCCGCCTTATCTGTGTCCGTGTCTGCACACACGTGTGTCTCTATCGCGTGCTCGTCTGGGGTACTAAGAAAATACCAACCAAGAAACGACTTCGTTCATATGGACGACGGGTCCAGTCCAGGGCGTCTGACCTGCGAGGGCAGGCCTCACTAGGTTGCATTCAAACAGCTTCTAGAAGGTATTGCTGACGTCAGCGAGATTGCTTCGCCCTATCGCATAGCAAGGCCAGAATAAGAAGCAGCCGTGGCTGTTTGCGAGCCTTTGCGAGCTTCAAGGAGCTCAAGTAGGCGAGACAAATAGACCAAATAGGCCGTGACGAACAAGACGTGACGAACTGGACGTGGCAATGAAGGGGCCCATGTCGCCGCTCACTCTGCGCGCGACGGAGCTGGAGGACCGGCCGCCGGAGTGGATGTCGCTCATCGCGCCGTCATCCTCGGCGGGCCCTGCGCCGCCCCTCCCGTCGTCGTCTTCCAGCAGCAATGGCGCGGCTGCAGCTGGCTTGAAGCCCCGGTGAGCAGTGAACGAACAGGAGCAGGCTCAAAGCCCCGATAGGTGATGCTCATATTCCAGCCTGTTAGCCGTCTCCGTCGCAGACCTACTCCGTCCGTCCCGTCTCCTTCATCCCTCTCGCCATTCCCGGTGCCCAGCCGGGTCCTAGTTCTGCCATATCGCGTCACTTCAATACATGTGCGTGCGCATGTGCGTTCGCGTACGCGTGCTCCTTAGTGCCAGCCTTGTGCAAGTGCTGCCAGTGCAAGTACTTCTACGACGGCTCTCAAACCCACCCTATTCCTCCTCGTCTCCCCTCTCCTCCCCTCCGTCCCAATCCCATCCCAGCCGCGTGCGCGTGCTACCGGTGTCACACCTCCGGCCTTACGTCCTCACCTTCTCGTGTCCTCTCGTGAACCTTGTCGCCCTTCCCCCTCTTTCCATCTGTATTTTGAGTCGACTCAAAATATGGGTCCATTGGGAGCCCGGGGATTCCTCGGATCCAAGTGCTCCGGCCTTACGTCCTCAGCTTCTCGTGTCCTCTCGTGAACCTTGTCCCCCTTCCCCCTCTTTTCCATCCCAGCCGCGTGCGCGTGCTGCCAGTGTCGCACCCGTCGCACTCCGACATCTACAACAACTCCCCCGGGGGAGCCCGGGGATTCCTCGGATCCAACTGCTGGCTCGCGTTCTGGCGCGTAGTGCACTACCTGTTTCCGTGCACCAAGTGGATGGCGGCTTATAGCCTGCGGAACGACCTCGTGGCGGACCTTGTAGCGGGGATAAGCGTGGGCGTGATGCTCGTGCCTCAGGTACTACAGAGGTGCTTGTGGGGTTTAGAGGCACCGCAAACACCTTATAGAGGGGATAAGCGTGGGCGTGATGCTCGTGCCTCAGGTACTACAGAGGTGCTTGTGGGGTTTAGAGGCACCGCTAACACCTTATAGCGGGGATAAGCGTGGGCGTGATGCTCGTGCCTCTGATACTAGAGAGCTGCTTGTGGAGTTTAGAGGCGCTGCTAACACCTTATAGCGGGGATAAGCGTGGGCGTGATGCTCGTGCCCAGGTACTGGAGAGATGCGGGGTTGTGGAGTTTTGAGTCGGCTCAAAAAACCTTGTAGCGGGGATACGCATTCGATAACCATAAGATGGTTGGTTGTTCATGGTTGATTGGGGGGGCCGCGGGGCTCAGTGAATCTCACATGCCCCATTTTTGAGGCGCCTCAAAAGTGAATCTCACATGCCCCATCCTTCAACAGCCCGTTTAAGGTTTCCCTTGGCGCATCTTTCATTAAACAACCCGTCTTCAACCCCCTCTCGCCCATTCCCCCTCTCTCCCCATCTTTACCCAACCCCCCCCCCCACCCCGCCTTCCCTCCCCCCTTCCTTCCCCCTACTCCCCTCTCCCGACACCCCCCTTTCCCCTCCCTTCCTCCTCCACCCCCCTTCCTGGCCCTCCCCTTCCTCCCGAGCAGTCAATGTCGTATGCCAAGCTCGCTGGTCTGCCCCCCATATACGGCCTATGTAAGCATGCAATGTCTGTGGCAAGTGCCGGCCCTAGCTAGAGCTGTGCCTAGCACTTAGACCTGTTGTCTGTCCTTAGTTACTGCCGCCCGGAGTGCTGCCCTTGGTAGGCTTTAGTGGTTGAATCTGATGGTGATCCTCCAGGTGGTGCCTGCCATGTCAGCACCATGTCCTGTGATGCCATGTCATCGCTTCTGCTCCGAAGAACCCCCTTTTCCTCTTCCTTGCTTGAGGATCGGTCGAGCGCATATTAGCTCCAAGTAGTGCCCATCCAAGTAGCTTGCTTATCGTGTACATTCTCTCCCCATCCTCTTCCCCCACCCCACCTTTTCAGACCCCATCCCCCATCCCCCATCCTCCATTCGCCCCTCCCCCAAAATCTTCCTCCCACCCCCTCTTTTCAGACTCGGCGTTTGTCCCCATCCTGAGCTACGTGGTCTTCGGCTCGTCCCGCCAGCTGGCAGTGGGTCCGGTGGCGATCGTGTCCATCCTCACGTTCGACGGGCTCAGGAAGGTTGTAGCGGAGAAGCTCCGAGACTCGGCTATAGCGGCGGGCCTGGCTGGAGGGGGGTACGGCCCCACGGCTGTAGCAGGGGGCGTGGCGGGAGGGATAGAGCTTCCAGCTAATGCAGGCCTGAGTGGGTTCCAACCGTCTCGGTCCCTGCTGGACTTCCGAAGCTCTGTTAGCAGCAGTAGTGTCAGCAGTGGTGGTGGTAGCATCAGTGGTGGCAGTGGCAGCGGCAGCAGCAGCGTTCCGTTTCCGTTCCCTGTGACTACTGCAGCCAGGCAGTTAAGCAGCATGGGGTGGGGGCTCACTGCCGCAGAACTGACAGGAGGAGGAGGAGGAGGAGGAGGGGGGGGGTGGGAGGGGCGGTAGGGGCGGTGGATGTGAGTATGGAGGAGTTGGCGGTGCTGCTGGCGCTGATGGTGGGGCTGCTGGAAGTGCTCATGGGCCTGCTCAGGTGTGTTTGTTCACATGGGCCTGGTCAGGTGTGTTTGTTCACATGGGCCTGCTCAGGTGTGTTTGTTCACATGGGCCTGGTCAGGTGTGTTTGTTCACATGGGCCTGCTCAGGTGTGTTTGTTCACATGGGCCTGCTCAGGTGTGTTTGTTCACATGGGCCTGCTCAGGTGTGTTTGTTCACATGGGCCTCCTCAGGTGTGTTTGTTCACATGGGCCTGCTCAGGTGTGTTTATTCACATGGGCCTGCTCAGGTGTGTTTGTTCACATGGGCCTTCTCAGGTGTGTTTGTTCACATCGGCCTGCTCAGGTGTGTTTGTTCACATGGGCCTGCTCAGGTTTCTGTGTTATCAGGGAGGGGCCTTCTCAGGTGAGTATGCTCATGGGCTGCTCAGGTGTGTGCTCTCATGGGCCTGCTCAGGTGTCTTCGCTCTCAGGGGTCTCCTCAGGTCTGTTCTGTTTTCCAGGGGTTTTCCAGGGGTTTTCCAGATACCTTCTGTTTCGTTCGCATGGGTTTGTTCAGGAACGGTTTCAAGAGATTGCTTCCACGTGGCTTTTCCTGACTGGTGGAGCTCAGGCCACTCGTCCCTGCCCTTCCCTTCTGATGCGCCCTTTTCTCCCCCTCCCACTCTCCCGCTCCCGCTCCCCCTCCCTGTCTCAATTCTCTTCTCCAGAATGGGTTGGCTTGTGCGCTTTCTCTCTCACAGCGTGGTATCCGGATTCACCTCGGGGGCGGCTCTCTTGGTGTGCGTCTCCGTGGCAAAGGACATTCTCGGCTTCTCCATGCCGGGTGGGTGGGTGGGTGAGACCGTGAGACTACACGGGTGGGAGCCTGGGAGGGTCATGGTGGGTGCATCCAGCCTTTTCACCTCGGGGGCGGCTCTCCTGGTGTGCGTCTACGTGACAAAGGTCATTCTCAGCTTCTCCATGCCGGGTGGGTATAAGTGGGTTGAGGGTAAGTAAGTAAGTGAGTATAATTAGATGTGAAAGCAGGGCCTGCTGCTGCTGCCACTGGGGGTGGGTGGGGGACAGCAGCTCACGTTTTGAGCCCCACTTTGCCCCATTTTTCTCCTGAACTTCTCCCTCCTCTCTTACTTCCTGCCGCCCACCAGGCTAAACGACCTTTGTGGCGGCCCTGTCGCACATAATCCAGCAGATTGTGGCGGGGCGGGCCGCACTGGGAACCCATGGCGCTGGGAGGGGCGCGCTGCTGCTGCTGCTGCTGCTGCTGCTGATGAAGAAGGCGGGCAAGACCTGGAAGTCAGTCCAGTCTCTGCCCAGCAGGGGCTGTTAGCCGCCTCAACCCACCACTCCCTCCCCTGCTTAACTCCCGCCCTTCCTGCCCTCTGGATCTTCCCGCACCCGTTGCATGTCTACGCCAGGCCAAACCACGTTTGTGGCAGCACTCTCGCACATAATCAAGCAGATTGTGGCGGGGCGGGCGCACTGGCAGCCCATGGCGCTGGGAGGGGGCGCGCTGCTGCTGCTGCTGCTGATGAAGGAGGCCGGCAAGAGCTGGAAGTCGCTGCAGGCGCTGCGGTGTGCGGGGCCCTTCACCAGCATTGTCATCGGAGCACTGGTGGTCAAGTGGTGGCGGCCTGAACACGTTCCAGTGGTGAGTTGGGCGGGGTTTAGGAAGGTTTAAGGTTGGTTTTCCTACTCCTGCTGCTGCTGCTGCTGATGAAGGAGGCCGGCAAGAGCTGGAAGTCACTGCAGGCGCTGCGGTGTGCGGGGCCCTTCACCAGCATTGTCATCGGAGCACTGGTCGTTAAGTGGTGGCGGCCTGAACACGTTCCAGTGGTGAGTTGGGTGGGGTTTAGGAAGGTTTAAGGTTGGTTTTCCTACTCCTGCTGCTGCTGCTGCTGCTGATGATGATGATGAAGGAGGCCGGCAAGAGCTGGAAGTCGCTGCAGGCGCTGTGGTGTGCAGGTCCCTTCACCAGCATTGTCATCGGAGCGCTGGTCGTCAAGTGGTGGCGGCCTGAACACGTGCCTGTGGTGGTTTGCCAGTGTGGGAGGGGTGGGACAGCGACAGGGGGATTGTAAATGGTGCAAGCCTCTCCAGTCCCTGCAGGCGCTGAGGTGCGCGGGGCCGTTCCCCTGGGAGTACCTGCCCAAGCTGCTGCCCTCAGCGCTCGTCGCTTCCCCCTCTCATCCCCCCTGTCCCGCTCCTTTCCCCTCTCAAGATGGGCGAGATCCCCCAGGGCCTCCCCTCCTTCTCTACCGCCTTCCCCTGGGAGTACCTCCCGAAGCTGCTGCCCACAGCGCTGGTCATCACCGGCGTGGCCATCCTTCCATCCCTTTCCTCTCCTTCTCCCCATTATAGGTAGGCGAGATCCCCCAGGGTCTACCGACTGTCAACCGCCTTCCCCTGGGAGTACCTCCCCAAGCTGCTGCCTGCAGCGCTGGTCATCACCGCCCCTCTCCCCTCTCCCTCTCTCCCATACCTTTGATCCTCTTTTGAGGCGCCTCAAAACTAGACTCTTTTGAGGCGCCTCAAAACTGTCATCACCGCCCCTCTCCCTCTCTCCCATACCTTTGATCCTCTTCCCATCATCAAGTGGGCGAGGTCCCCCAGGGTCTCCCTTCCCTCTCCACCGCCTTCCCATGGAGTACCTGCCCAAGCTGCTCCCCACAGCGCTCCTCTCTTCTCCATCTTTTTTCAACGTCCCCCCCCTTTCCTGCCTGGTAGATGGGTGAGATTCCCCAGAGACTACCGTCTCTGTCAACATCCTTCCCCTGGGAGTACCTGCCCAAGCTGCTGCCCACAGCGCTGGTCGTCACCAGCGTCACCATCCTCGAGTCGTGCGGCATCGCCTTTTTTTGGCAGCCAGGAACGGCTATGCCATCCACCCCCCCTCCTTCTCCCACCTCACCCTCCCCTTTCCCTTCTGCTCTCTCAATCCCTGCGCTCCCTGGTTTGCTCCTCCTTTCTTCACCAGGTGGGCGAAATCCCCCAGGGTTTGCCCTCCCTCTCCACGGCCTTCCCCTGGGAGTACCTGCCCAAGCTGCTGCCCACAGCGCTGGTCATCACCGGCGTGGCCATCCTCGAGTCGTGCGGCATCGCCAAGGCGCTGGCTGCCAGGAATGGCTATGCCATCGATGCGAACCAGGAGCTGTTTGGACTGGGCATGGCGAACGTGCTGGGGTCCTTCTTCTCCTCCTTCCCCACCACTGGTGAGTGCCACCTTTCTAAGTGAGGGGTCCCAGAACAGCCTTCCATCCTCGAGTCGTGCGGCATCGCCAAGGCGCTGGCTGCCAGGAATGGCTATGCTATTGATGCGAACCAGGAGCTGTTTTAACTTGGCATGGCGAGCGTGCTGGGGTCCTTCTTCTCGTCCTTCCCCACCCCACCACTGGTGAGCAATGGTTGGGTGCTCGTTGAACCTGGGGTTGATTTGAAAGTGCTGGGTTCCTTCTAAATGGTGTTCATGGTCGTTCTCCTTTGTCTTACCCTTCACGCCCGGCCCCCACCCCTCTTCTGTGCAGGTTCCTTCTCCCGCTCGGCAGTGATCCACGAGGTGGGCGTGCGCACGGCCCTGAGTGGGCTCATCATGGCACTCATGGTCGTTGCCCATCCCCTCTTCTCTGTGCCTTTCCCTCCCTGGTTTCCTGCTCTGTCGCCCCCTCAGGCTCTTTCTCTCGCTCGGCAGTGAACAACGAGGTGGGCGCGCGCACGGCTATGAGTGGGCTCATCATGGCGCTCATGGTCGTTGCCACGCTGCTCTTCCTCACACCGGCTTTTCGAGACGTGCCCCAGGTATGCATTTTGAGACGTCTCAAAACCAACCTTATATCACGTGCCCCAGGTATGTATTTTGAGACGTCTCAAAAACAACCTTATATCATGTGCCCAAGGACCCAGGTATGTATGGCGGTGCTTTAAGACTCAGCTCAAAGCCTCATGGTCGTTGCCACGCTGCTCTTTCTCACACCGGCATTTAGAGACGTGACCCAGGTATGTATGGCGGCTTCATGAGATGTACCCCAGCCCGAGGTGTGCTGGATGGCTTTAAGAGGCGTGCTGCTCAAGGTATGTACAGGTGTCTTTAGAGTCAGCTTAAAGCCTCATGGTTGGGAACTGATGTTCCTGTGGCGGGTGGATGCCAGTGTGTGATGAGTCGTCACGTTTCGCCCTCTCCTATCCCCCCTGACCCAGTGCGTGCTAGCAGCAGTTTGGTGAACGCAATGCACAAGTTAGACGACCTTTAAGAACTGCTGTTCCTGTGGTGGGTGGATGCAAGTGTGTGATGAGTCGTCTTGATTACTTCACCGTTCGCCCACCTCCCTCCCTCCCCCCCCACTCTCCCTGACCCAGTGCGTGCTGGCAGCCGTGGTGGTGAACGCCGTGCACAGGCTAGTCGACCTTCAAGAGCCGCTGTTCCTGTGGCAGGTGAATGCGAGTGATTCCCATATTTTTACCTCCCCCACCCCCCCTCTCTGACCCAGTGCGTGCTGGCAGCCGTGGTGGTGAATGCCGTGCACGGGCTGGTCGACCTTCAAGAGCCACTGTTCCTGTGGCGGGTGAATGCGAGTGAGATTCCCATCATTTTACCTCCCCCACCCCCCCTCCCTGACCCAGTGCGTGCTGGCAGCAGTGGTGGTGAACGCTGTGCATGGGCTGGTCGACCTTCAAGAGCCGCTGTTCCTGTGGCGAGTGGAGAAAAAGGATCTTGTCTTGTGGCTCTGCGCCTTCCTTGGCACGCTGCTGCTGGGCCTGGAGACTGGTGTTCTCATCTCGGTAAGTTGGGGGGTGAAAGGAGGCACGAGACAAGAGCCGCTGTTCCTGTGGCAGGTGGAGAAGAAGAAGGATCTCGTCTTGTGGCTCTGCGCCTTCCTTGGCACGCTGCTGCTGGGCCTGGAGACTGGTGTTCTCATCTCGGTAAGTTGGGGGGTGAGAGGAGGCACGAGACAAGAGCCGCTGTTCCTGTGGCAGGTGGAGAAGAAGAAGGATCTCGTCTTGTGGCTCTGCACCTTCCTTGGCACGCTGCTGCTGGGCCTGGAGACTGGTGTTCTCATCTCGGTAAATTGGGGGGTGAGAGGAAGCACGAGACAAGAGCCGCTGTTCCTGTGGCAGGTGGAGAAGAAGAAGGATCCCGTCTTGTGGCTCTGCGCCTTCCTTGGCACGCTGCTGCTGGGCCTGGAGACAGGCGTGCTCATCTCGTTATGTGGTATGGTGGAAAGGACTCCAGCGGGGGGGAAAGGGGTATGAGACAGGAGCCTGGAGAAGAAAGATCTCATTTTGTGACTCGGTTCCTTTCTTGGCATTCTGCTGCTCGGCCTGGAGACTGGTGTACTCATCTCGGTGTGTAAGTGGAGGGGGTTGGGGGTGGGAGGCGGGCTGGAAGGGGACGAGTGAGGGCTGTTTTTGAGAATTCTCAAAAACACCCTGCAAAATCAAGGGGACGAGGGGACGAGTGAGGGGTGGTGCTATCTTCCTATGGCGGGTGGAGAAAAGAGAATGAGAGGTCGACGGGCGGCAGGAGCTCACAACTTCTGTCTTGTCAGTCGGACCTCTCCCCCCCTTCATTTGTTGATGCACACAATTCACAAAAACACACGTGTGTGCACGTATGGGCCCAACGTGCCTCTTATCCTTGTCCCTCGCCCTCCCCACCCCCCTCGTCCTCCTCGTCTCAGGTGGCACTCTCTCTCGTCTTTGTTATTCACGAGTCTGCCAATCCTCACATGGGTAAGCTAGTCTGCCCACCTCAGTCTTACATTAGGGTACTCCCTGCACACGCCCTGCACACGCCCTATACACGCCCTGCACCCGCCCTGCACACGCCCTGCACACGCCCTACACACGCTCTGCGCACGCCCTGCGCACGCTCTGCGCACACCCTGCGCACGCTCTGCGCACGCCCTGCATTTCCGAGTCTTCGAATCCCCACATGGCATAGCTGTATTCTTCACTTCCTCCTCCTCCTGCTTTACCCGCAACGTGAAGAATACAGTGTTAGGTAAAGCAGTGGGTAAAGCAGTGGTAGCTGCCTACCTGGTAGGCGCTGGTGCACCACTGCCTACCGCAACGTGACGCAATATACGGCGACGCGTACTCCTTTGCTGATGCGTTTCGAGACGTCTCATGCCCTAAACCCTATGCTGATGCCCCCAATCCCCCTCCACTCATCCCTCTCCCACCCTCCTGCTCCACTCTCTCTCCCCCACTGCAGCTGTCCTGGGTCGGCTCCCAGGCACGACAGTATATCGCAACGTGAAGCAGTACCGCGACGCGTACACGTACAGGGGCGTGGTCATCCTGCGCATCGACGCCCCCATCTACTTTGCCAATGTCGACTACATCAAAGAGAGGTGCGTTTTCCACTTAGAATGCATGGGTTCTTGCCTGTTAACATGGCCCTTTTGGTCATCCTGCGTATTGTCGCCCCCATCTACTTTGCCAATGTCGACTACATCAAAGAGAGGTACGCTGTAAGGAAAGATGTGCTTTCGATCGCAACACGGATGGGCTCTGAACCTGCTACCAGGGGCGTGGTCATTCTGCGAATTGACGCCCCCATCTACTTTGCCAATGTCGATTACATCATAGAGAGGTGCGGTAGAGCACCTCACGGGGTTGACTCCGCAAACACGCGTACTGCAGGCGTGATCATTATGCGCTGTTTGTTGAATCATGCACGGCTGCTGAGTTGTTGAATCCTGCACGTCTGCTAAGTTGTTGAATCATGCACCTTACATTCCTTGAACGCAAGTTGCTGCAGAGGGTGGCGTGATGGAGGGGGACGGCAGCAGAGTATGTAATGGATGTGAGGCATGTATGGGATCCCCGTCGCTCACCGTATCTACCCCCCCCTCCCCACAACTCTCCCCTCTTCCCCCCCCCCCTCACAACAGCTGTGCAAGTACGAGCTGCAGAGGGTGGCGTGGTGGAAGGGCGGCAGCAAAGACTGCTTGACATGTCAATGCGCCTTACTTCGCTACTCTCCCCACATTTCCCCCCCACTCTCCCCCACTCTCCCCCATCTCCCCCACTCTCCCCCACTCTCCCCCCATCTCCCCCCCTACTCTCCCCCCATCTCCAACCCACTCTTCTCCACTCTCCCCCCATTCCCCCCCCACTCTCCCCCACTCTCCCCTCCACTGCAGGCTGCGCAAGTACGAGCTGCAGAGGGTGGCGTGGTGGAAGGACGGCAGCAGTGGCAGCAGCGGAGGCCGGCTGGCGAGCAGCGGCAGCAGCGCGGGGGGCCAACGGACTGGCTGTGATGGACCTGCGTTTCCTCATCCTCGAGATGTCCCGTGAGTGCTGCTGCTCGCTCCTCTCTTCCTCCCCTTCTAAGGGCTCGGAGTCGATCAGCATTCATAGCAAGCAGCAGCGTGGGGGCCAATGGACTGGCTGTGATGGACCTGCGCTTCCTCATCCTTGAGATGTCCCTTGAGCGCTGCTACTCCTCTCTTCCTCCACTTCCAAGGGTTCTGAATTGACTCAGCAATGATAGGCAGCAGCGTGGAGGCCAATGGAATGGTTGTCGTGGACCTGCACTTCCTCATCCTTGAGATGTCCCGTGAGTGCTGCTACTCCTCTCTTCCTCCACTTCCAAGGGTTCTGAATTGACTCAGCAATGATAGGCAGCAGCGTGGGGGCCAATGGAATGGTTGTCGTGGACCTGCGCTTCCTCATCCTTGAGATGTCCCGTGAGTGCTGCTACTCCTCTCTTCCTCCAATTCCAAGGGTTCTGAATTGACTCAGCAATGATAGGCAGCAGCGTGGGGGCCAATGGAATGCTTGCTCTGGGTGCTTGCGAGCTTGCTCTAGGTGCTTGCGAGCTTGCTCTGGGTGCTTGCGAGCTTGCTTCTTGTGAGAAGCCATGGACCTCTCGCAATCTCGCAAGCACCTAGAGCAAGCTTGCCAGCACCTAGAGAAAGCTCCCTTGTCTTCTCTCCCTCCTTCCCTCAAACCCCCCCTCCCCCCCCCTTCCCCTCCCACTGGCAGCTGTTACCTACATTGACTCCACGGCTGTGCACCGCTCTCAAAGAGCTCTATAACGAGTACAAGGCGCGCGACATCCAGCTGTGCTTCTCCAACCCGTCGCCCAAAGTGATGCTCACTATGGCACGTGCCGGCTTTCCAGATCTCATCGGCCGCCAGTGGTACTTCGTCAGAATACACGACGCCGTTCAGGTGAGCCTCGGGGGGGAGTACAGCAGGTCGTTTTTGAGGTGCCTCAAAAACTGAATACATGATGCCGTTCCGGTGAGCCTCGGGAGGCACAGCGGGTTGTTTATTCATGCTACGCACACCATACGCGCATGCTCACCATGGCCCGTACCATACGCGCATGCTCACCATGGCCCGTACCATACGCGCATGCTCACCATGGCCCGTACCATACGCGCATGCTCACCATGGCCTGTACCATACACGCATGCTCACCATGGCCTGTACCATACACGCATGCTCACCATGGCCCGTACCATACGCGCATGCTCACCATGGCCCGTACCATACACGCATGCTCACCATGGCCCGTACCATACGCGCATGCTCACCATGGCCGTACCATACGCGCATTCACCATGGCCTGTACCATACACGCATGCTCACCATGGCCCGTACCATACGCGCAGCTCACCCATGCCCGTACCAACGCGCATGCTCACCATGGCCTGTACCATACACGCATGCTCACCATGGCCCGTACCATACGCGCATGCTCACCATGGCCTGTACCATACACGCATGCTCACCATGGCCCGTACCATACGCGCATGCTCACCATGGCCCGTACCATACGCGCATGCTCACCATGGCCTGTACCATACACGATGCTCACCAGGCCCGTACCATACGCGCATGCTCACCATGGCCTGTACCATACGCGCATGCTCACCATGGCCCGTACCATACGCGCATGCTCACCATGGCCCGTACCATACGCGCATGCTCACCATGGCCTGAACCATACACGCATGCTCACCATGGCCCGTACCATACGCGCATGCTCACCATGGCCTGTACCATACACGCATGCTCACCATGGCCCGTACCATACGCGCATGCTCACCATGGCCCGTACCATACGCGCATGCTCACCATGGCCTGTACCATACACGCATGCTCACCATGGCCCGTACCATACGCGCATGCTCACCATGGCCTGTACCATACACGCATGCTCACCATGGCCCGTACCATACGCGCATGCTCACCATGGCCTGTACCATACACGCATGCTCACCATGGCCCGTACCATACGCGCATGCTCACCATGGCCTGTACCATACACGCATGCTCACCATG